GCGGCAAGTGCGGAAGCGGCAGGCGCTGATGGGTTGTAGTCCATCGACATCGAGCGCATGGTACTGTAGCACATACGGTCGCGAGTGCCTGAGTCAGGCAGGCCTAGTGAGACATGAGCGAGGTCAATACCGAAACGACGACGGGTCCTGCAGTGAACGGAGGCAAAACGAGCGCAGAGTTTGTAGGTACGCTTTATTCGATTCAATAACCGCTTGCTTGCATGTTGAGTCGCTTTATCTCAGTTGGTGGGTCTGCTATATTGTCTCCTTCATGTCTACATGAACTATATTCTATTAACTTGCACATCAACTTAATTGTAGTTAACTTTGATAACCTTTTGCCGTTCGTGACACTTTCTTAAAATATATTTTCTGACCTCTTGAACATATAACGGATTTTTGGCAAGTAATTTATTTCATTATGCTCATATGTTGTCCCATCCTGAGGCTGATGTTCGATTCATGATGCTTCTCCACCGCAGTTGGGCTAAACCAACTTACACTTAAACTAGGGCATTTTAAGCTGGATAAATTTCATTCTACTTTAATTGGTTTGTTCTGCCTACCTGAATCAGCATCATCATCATCAACAGCAGTACATCAGCCATTTGAACTGATGCTTCGCTGCCATACAATCATGAGGGCCTATGAAATAAAGAATAAGAAAAAGGGAGAGAAGGGGGACTTACCTTAAAACATTAATGCCCTAGGAAAACATTCAGAGTCAACGCGCCTACCCCTTGTGTAGACAACATACCGTCACAAACAGCTGGCTATCGTGCAAAGATAAGGCGGCATCCGCGAGACAGCTTCCTTGCGGCTTTCACTGCCACGCGTCATAACCAGCCATTACCCCTCAGATAACTCAGCATCAAACACACTTTAAACAGGTAATCCGATTATTAGACGGCAGCAGACGCGTCACTGATGTCGACTGTGAGCCATGTCCTGTAAAGTCTCGAGCCAAGCACAAGGCGAGTCAGGTGGACTCTAGCCCAGAAGGCGAGACGAACTAACGGCACCCAGTTTGGTCGTCAGTAACTTCATTTCCCGCTGCCAAGTCAACTTCTGTCCACCTCGAGCCTTGCGCCACCCTACACCTGGCAGACTAAACAAGGCCCTCCTAGGTAAGCGGTGACCAGGCATTCGTAACAGGTGCCCGAGCCAACGCAACTTATTCAGTGCTATCTGTTGTCCTAGGGTGCTAGCATGATTATCACTAACTAGTACCCGCCTACGCACATCATCGTTGCGGACACACTGGTGCCACCCGACAGCAGCAATGCCTCGCAGACAATGATGATCAAGGACTTGAAGGCGTCTCAGATCTTCGGACCGAAGGGGCCAAGTCTCACTCCCATAGAGCAGGACGGTCCTAACTGTGGTGTTGTATACACGGCCTTTCAGACGGAGGGAAACTCCTTTCTGTCGCCAGAAATGCCGCAGGTTCAAGAAGGCAGCTCTGGTATTTGCAATACGTATGCTGACGTCAGTTTCTATGCGCCCATCGTTGCTGATGCGGCCGCCAAGGTAAGTGAATTGATCAACCACCTCGAGTTCCTCGTTAGCAAGGGCCAAGTGGTCATAATGTGGCTGGTGGTCCTGCAGCAACAGTTTGCACTTTGAAGGTGCGAAGTACATACCAACTAACGAGACCACTCTAGACAGGCTATTCAGCGTTGATTGTGCCACCGCAACATCGTCGAAAAGCAAGACGATGTCGTCCGAATAATCACCATCAACTAATCTTTCACCAAGCAGGACCTCAACGTCTACATCGTGAGATTCCGCAAGGGTATACTCCATGATAGAATCCACAACGAAATTGAACAAAAATAGGGATATCGTACAACCCTGACGAACGCCACTTGTGGTCGGAAAGTTATCCAACAGGCCACCGTAGACCCTGACGCGGCCTGTAGTGTTCGAGTATAGAGCACGAAGGATTTTCACATATTTCGTGGGAACACCTTTCCGCGCAAGTATTTCGAACAGAATGCATCGATCGACTGAATCGAACGCACTCTTGAAATCGAGGAACACAGCTATTGTCGGTCTGCGGTATGCGTGGCGTTGCTCTAGCACCTGCCGCAAACTGAATATATGGTCTATACAGCCACGTTCTGGGTGGAAACCTGCCTGCTCTTCCATATTCCGAAATTCCCGTTCCAAAGTGAGGCGCGATCGAGAATGGAGGCCAGTAATTTGGTCACAATTGGTGTTAGGCTAATACCCCTGTGATTAGAACAGTCTGTGCGACTGCCCTTCTTGTATATTGCCACTATAATCGGTTCGTTCCAATTAGCCGAGATACTCTCTTCCTTCCAGATACGTTCGAATAGGGAGGTCAGCGGTCTGAAGAGGACTTCACCTCCATCCTTAAACAGTGCAAGTGGGAGGGAATCCGGGCCAGCGGCACGAAAACGATTGAGGGCTGTGATCGCATTTCTGACCTCAACCTCCGATAGAGCCTCTAAACTAACCGTCCATGGCTCGTCCTGCATCACCTGAGTAAAAAGAGGTCCGGGAACAGGGGGCCGTCTGAACTGATCTTGAAAGTGTTACGCCCAACGAGTCATACGGCGTCTTTTGTTGTGTATCAGTACACCCGCGTTATCTCTTATTGTCTCACTGACGCCTGGTTTCCTGGGACTAGTAGTGCGGATTAGCGGGAAGAGCTTGCGGTTATTGCCTACTGCTCCTGTCTCCTCCATTTCTTGAGTGCGGCTGGTTCACCAGGCTTCCTTGTCAGCACGTGGGCTCCGCTTTAGTTCGCGCCTAATAGCCCGTCTGGTCACATTGTGCTCAGAGCCAGCCGGGAGGTTTCTTCTATATTCCAACTGGTTCACTGACTTCTCGGATATCCAGTGACTGGTGCGGTGAAGATTGTTAATGCCACAAGCAGATGCTCCTGCGTCGTGCATGGTGGCCGAGATCCTATTCCACTGAAGCTCAGTGTAATTAGAACAAGAGAGCGGAAGTTCGGTACGCAGTGCGTCTTGATAGGCTTGCTTGACCGAGGGCTGAGACAATTTCTCAGTTGCCAATCGCAGGAGAGGTTTGGTGCGCCTCCCGGTAAAGTTCATGGAGAAACGACAGCCTATCAAGGCATGATCAGAGTCGACGCAGGTATTCCAGTACGAACGGCAATCCATGATGGAACCACGCCACCGGTAGCTTATGGCTATGTGGTCAGTTTGGGTCCATAGCTCTGTATGGCTCTGTAGGTACTGCACTTTAACATCCGCGCATGAGCTTGCAGCATTATCATGAAATGCCTATTCCTTAACATTCTACAGTATGCTCGTGTCCCCCAACGATTTCCAGGACACCCCGGTAGCGTGACTTGAGTCAGCTTGTGTCAAATTCTCGCACACCTTTCCTATAACATGTGGTGTGCATCAGGGTTACGCCATCTCCCCACTTCCTTACGGTGTATTGAATCCCACAATGCAAGCAATGAAGTGCTTTCCGCGGGAAAACCGGATTATACGAACGATATCGCCTTACTGTTTAACGACCGCAAGACTACACAGTCAACCATGGGTAAACTTAGCATGCGCTTCGCACTCTCAGAATGCGTAGTGTTGTCGCTGGACCACATGCCCTTGCTTCTTGATGACAAGAAACTGTTGATCAAATTACTTATCTTGGCAGCTGCAATACCAACGATTGATGCATGATTAGTGAAGTTATACAACCTATTGCGTAAACTGGAACCCTGTTCTCGCATCTACGACAAATGTTCCACCAGCTAGGAGCTCTCGTAGTCTGACGTGTCACGTGTACAGGGCCACAGTAAAGGTCGTTCTTCTCTATGAAAATGAGTCTTGTCCTCTTCATTCGTAGAACCTAATGTGCTTCCAGTTCTTCCGTCGCCATTAACTGCGGGACATTACCGTTGCCGGATAGCATCAGCGTGTTCTCAACGAGGAGGAGTATCTAGCGGTGATACACAGCTTAGTGCTTAAGAGCAGCAGCGAACTCTGAATAAAGTGCTCTGACCCAAACATCTGCTGCGTATCCTTACTCACAGATTGCAGAAAATAGACTTCTAGCACAAAGCTAGAGATGGGCAAAAGTTGGCTTGGCACCGAGAAGTGAAGTCACTGACGACGAACACGAATGCTTTCTCTTCTTATCACCTAGAGTCAACGCGACGCACCTTGGGATTGCCTTAAGAATTTACTGGATATGGCTCGCAGCAATGCCGTGCTTTTGTCATCTCCTAGTCGGGTTGCTTGCTTATTACCTGTCGGATGCTGCGTTAGCTGTAGCACAGGACTGTTTATGATGCGGGGCTAGTGGGGATCTCAAGGAATCTGTTTGGCCGACACCGCCTCATCTTCACACGATATCCATCTGTTTGTAATCGTGTGCTAATGGCAATATGTAGGCGCCTTGCCCCCGCTCTTTTCATCGAAACTTGATGTTCTCTGAGTCAATGATGTCCGCTTTGTTCCTTGTTGTCGGTGGGATGTTTCACTGCGAAATGTCACCATTGCCCGACCTATGTCTACCAAACTTATTCAGTCTATTCCCAACTACAGTGTTTAGCTTGCGTGTTAGTTGAGTAGTGTGCTGCATTGGTTTGCGTTTCCTCTTCAGCACAGCCGACAGGTGGCGTTTTTCTCATTTCATAGATGCCTGGGCTTTTTCTGCTACTGACTCCGTTAGCAATGCGATTGCTCACGCGCCGTCGCTGTTCTCATGGGGAATAACTCCGAGCGTCCGCATCATTCGAGTGCACGATTGATTGTCACCGCTATGAAGATAGATTTGTGAATTGAGAATGAGGGCGTTTTCATCGTATACTTAACGGGCTATCCGATCAGGTCTCTTCTCCTCATAGATACTCGAAGAAAGAGAGCGTCTGGGGCCGGTCAACCATCATATTTTCTGTACACCCTGGTTTTCGTATGATTTTTGTCACTTCTTACTTATCACAGATCGGTGGTTCGAATGATCCCTCTGAGGAGACGAGCTAGAGCTCGCTAGTTATGTGTCACATTTTCTCAGCATCACATCGGCGATGCGCTGCAATTATCACGGGTCACAATGATGGCTATGAGAAGGCTAGCGTTCACCGTTTTCCTTCTCTCATAGATTCCCTTATACACGTTGCGTTGCGCCCTCATTTTCTTGTTTCCAGATACTTCACACTGTTCATGAATCTTTTGAATGACGTGGCAGATGATCGTGAAAAGCGCCCCGAGGTAAGAGATAACAACGTGGCATTGCGTAGCGCAACAGTTCAGGCCATGTCCAACCTACTGAATGCCAACGTGGAATCGGGGTTGGTGCATGCTATAGGTAAGCAGTCTGCTTAGCGTGTTAATCCTCCACATGTTTGTCTTCAATTTCACATCTTTACTTTCAGTGGTTCTCTTTACATCATACGATTCCATGTGACTAGGTGATCTCACACCTATTCGTTATCAACAGTTGTGTTCTCCTCTAGACCCTTATTCGGCCATCCGTTTGCAACTTTTCACCGATATCGTTTGCGCAATCTCCCCGTGCACTCCACCGTTTACTTGTCCTCGAAAGTATGATTGGTATCTAATTGTAAAGTATCGTATTTCTTCTTTCATAACGTCTGGGTTAAAAATTCACTTTTCTTTCATCAAATCAAACTACGTTTGGTTTCAATCTCCTCAGGCGCTATCTCTTATCGTAGTTATTTTGGATAGTTGAGATTGTCATCAGCGTTCCTTTGAGATTTTCAACTCCCTGGAGAATGATCATGGTTCGTAATTTTGCCCCATTAAACATTGTGCAGTTACGACTGTTTCTTCAACCTGTGCATCCTGCCTCCGTATGCGACTGTGTGGCTACCATTCATTCTCTCCCCGCCACCTCCGTTGACTTCATTGCCGGTCTGAGTCCCAACAGTTTTACGTTGCATCGTATTTATGCTGACCAACCTCCCCTCCCTGCCTACCCCACCGAAATTGCGGTTACAGTTCAGTTCTACAGTGCGTTTTCTGCCACAGCTACTACTCTAGCTATAATGTCCACTTGAGATACTCTCGCTCTGTACTAAAACCACTCCACCTTCCGTCATCTTTCGTCGTTTCACATTCACGCATAACTCGTCACATATGTTTGCTAGTAGACCATCTCTGTTACAAAACACCGCGAATTACGAAATATCTTTGATTCACTGTAATCACACTTGTTATTTGGAGTACTCGATGTGTGGATGAATTGTGACACACAGAGTCATTTTAGTCCGCTATTTGCTTTGAGCTAAGCCCCGCTTTTTCTGCGCAAAAGTGGGAACGGATCGTGAAACGCGTTGTTGAGACATAGCAAAGCTAACCCTTTCACAGTCTACTCTAACTTGCCAAGTAAGAAAACCGATAAAAGTTTAGGCATATCGGTTAAACAAATCTATCACGCGTGTAACCACTTGCTACCGTTGGAGTACCGATTGGTGTGTGTGTGTGTGTGTTGGGGCATGTGTTTGTAGGCGTGCGGGTTCGCTGCGTGCGTGAATGGTCGGAGTGGTGGAGGCTCAAACCGAGGCCACAATTCTACATGTTATAAAACATACTGTACTACAGACTATCACAAGCAGTCTGTGTTGTCATGCAGTGGTGTCCGGTCGGCGCAAAGTTGAACAACATGCTCTGGGTAACAAGAACTGAACTCTACCGGTTTCCGAGCAAAAACTGTTGCTTCCGTTGCATTTGTATCTTTTACAGTGTACCTGTTGTGGTGGACTTTTAATGCGCGTCGGTACTGTGCTTCCTTACTTATTCCCTTTCGGGGGGCACAGGTGAGATGAAGTTTGCGGTTTGTCACCCCTCTCCCGTATGTTTTGGTATCTCTTGGCAGCTGACAGCTCGTACCACATGTGCTCTGGTCGGCACATCACTTTGCTACTGTCCACTCTAAGGTGTGCACAGTGTTTATGCGATAATACCCTAAATAAGTCATATACTTTATAACTCAGCTACTCACTTTTACCGCTTCCGCTGTGAACAGTTTGGTACTTTACACGCTACTCTCGAGTTGGTGTTCTCCCGTCTCTTCGCAGGTCTCGGCTATCATCGCGATCCGCAGAGTAGATAGATTCATTGATAGATTCTCGATGCTAGGCAAGGCTGTGGAGATTTTTAGTTCCTCCCACAAGTCGATCGGCTTCGTTGCTTGTCCCTTTTACGATACTGGTGCGGTGTGTTAAATGTAACCTGGTGTGTTTCGTTTAACTCTCATTTGTACTTTTAGAGAAAACGCAAGCGAAATAAAACGCTAGAACCTTGTCATTCTCAGTTGCCACAATAATGTTTACTGAGCCACTAGGATGGTGTTCGGCTGTACCGAACTGCATCCTATTTGGTCGACTTATTTGCGACTGTTCAACTTCACTGCTTTCTTTTTTTCCATAAGTCTCCTGTTTCTATTACGACTTTCATTGCTCATTATGCATCGTCTCTGCACCAGTTTGAACGGGTTTCCGCCTTCTGAATCCGTTTTTTGCTGGGTCATACCAGGCGCCACGTATGATCAGCCACTGTTGTGTTCATGGCTCGTGTTTTCTCTGTTTTAGCTTCCCACCGCAATTGCGCTGCATGTGTCGATGTCTACACAAACTTATCAGGCAGCTGTGCTTTGCAAACGAAGCGGAACAAGCGAACAAAATGCTTTCCACCATTATCTTTTTGCGATTCATCAATCCAGCTGTTGTGTCACCCTACGAGAGCGGACTACTCGACTTCGAACCTCCAGCCAGGGTGAAACGTGGCCTGATCTTAGTGGGAAAGATGATGCAAAATATTGCCAATCAACTGCTGTTCACTAAAGAACCTCACATGCGTGTATTCGATCCTCTGTTACAAAAACACTTCGAATCTTGTCGGCAGTTCTTCCAGGTACGAGAATTTCTTGATCCGTTTCTACTTTTGCGTCCATTGCAATTATGCATCTCAGTTTCTGAGCTCAAGTATTCATTCCGTCCTGCCTCTAACTCTGTTCTCGGGATATTGTCCATACACATATTGTAAATATTTCTGTTTCTTTCCTGCTGTTACACTATACATATATATTTATATATATGCATGAATCAGTGAACCTACCACGTGCTAGACCCGCTGCCTTTCGGGTGTACATTTAATCGAAGGCTTTGGCTTAGGACCCGAGTCGTTCTCTTGTCAGGTGTGAGCGCCCTGCAAGTATCTTAGTCCATCCTCTTCGGAGGTTAGGAAGTGCTCGATGACCCTCTTCCCGTAAAACCTAGCCATAGGAGACAACAGGTCTACGGATTATAAGCCAACAGCTCGATTGGCGTATAGCACGAGCGCTATGCATCGTCTCTGATGGTGGGAGGGCACCTCCGGGTATTCAATGGTTTGCTACGGTCTACCTCAAGCCAGGCAGTTCCTGGTCAAATTGGTGCAAACCCGCCAACACCCACCTGCGTCTGGCCGTGGTCGCAGGTGTGTATCATACTACGGTTGCAAAACATATATGAAACGTTTCAGTACCTCAAAGGCTGCATGTGACAGCCGTCAAGCAGATCCCAATCAGTCTCTGCAATCACATTCCCGAGCTGGATTTACTCCCCACTGCCTTGTGGGTCAAGCTATTGAGCCAAAGGCTCCGGGCGCAGCAAACCTCCGATGCACATCCGCCACCTTGCGTGCAATTGACCACCAATGCAATCGTATGCCTGCGCGCAAAGCACTCAGCATCGGGTGCTGGAACCTGCGCACACTACTGGACCGGAACTCGAGTGAGCGCCCCGAGCGACGCACTGCACTGGTCGCGATGGAACTGGCGCGCTACCACATCGATATTGCTGTGCTCAGTGAGACTCGGCTCGCTGAGCATGATGAGTTGCATGGAGTATGTGCTGGCTATACACATACTGCTTGGTAGGAAACGCCGCCTTAGCACCACGTGAACATGGGGTCGGATTTGCAATATCCGATCGCCTCCATGGCCAGCTGGTGGGTGAACCAACAGGCATCAGCGCGCGAATGGTGACTGTTCGCCTAGGACTCGGAAGACGTAAGTTTGCCACCCTTATAAGCACGTACGATCCGACCATGTGTTATCCTGATGACACGCGTGATCTATTCTACAATCAGCTATCCTCCGTGATACGGTCTGTGCTGAAGAGCGACTGACTATTTCTGCTGGGTGGTTTCAACGCGCGCGTTGGGCGTGATGCATCGGTGTGGACAGATGTTATCGGTCCGCATGGCATTGGTTCAGCGAATGGGAGCGGTGACAGGCTGCTCTCACTGTGTGCCACTCACGGCCTGACGTTCTCGAACATTCGCTCTGCACTGAGTGCGAATGATATAGCAACTTGGACGCACCCACGGAGTGGTCACGCTCACCTGCTCTACTATGTCATCGTACGTCAGCGTGATATAAGTGAAGTGCGCATGACACATGTACTGCGTGGAGTTGAGTGTGACACTGATCACAAATTGGTGCGGACCAAACTGGACATATATCTTTGTAAATCTATGTATTGCACTCCCGCCGTGAATCAGCGTAAATTTAACATTCTCTCCCTCAGTACTGTGGAAAAACGTATTGAGCTGGAGAAGGCGATGACTGCACGACTGTGTGATGTGGAATACATAGCCACGGTGGGTGACCTGTGGGGCACCACATTCGCGACCAGGTGACAGCTGCTGCCGAAGAGACCATTGGGCGCAAACTGTAAGCGGCCTGATTGGTTTGATGAGAACAATGCGACGATTGGCGCATTAGTGTCCGTAAAGTATGCGGCATTTGCTGCACGTGTGGTAGACCCCAGTGACTTGGAAAAGAAGAGTCCATTTCGCAAACTTCGATGGCGACTAACCCGAGAGCTCCGTCGCATAATTAATGCATGGTGGACGGAGAAGGCGAAGTAGATGGAATGCTACGCCGAACGCCGCCAACACTAGGGATTCTTTGACTTCTTGATGGCAGTGTATGGACCGACATTGGAGTCGTTGAGGATGCTGATCGATGGTAGCTCAGGCGCTACCTGCACACAGACTGCAGACATAATGCAGATCTGGATGAAACACTTTGACGCTGCACCACTTGGTGCAACGTGTATGGATTGAGGAAGAGGTGCCTCCTGACCTGAAGGATGCCCTTGTGCTATCACTGTACAAGGGCAAAGGTAGCAAGCAATGTTGCACGAATTATCGTGGCATCAACTTGCTGAGTTGTGTGGACAAGATGATTTCCCTAATACTGCCCAACCGCCTCGTCAGTCAGATTGTGGAACCAAACGTGCCGGAAGAGCAGTGTGGATTCCGTTCTTGTCGCAGCACTATGGATATGATGTTTGCGCCTCGTCATCTTCGAAAGAAGTGCAGAGAAGGACACCAACCAATGTACTCGCTTTTGTTGATTTCACCAAGACATGTGATACGGTGAACCGCGACGCATTGTGGCTAGTGTTGGGTAAGTTTGGCTGCACGCGTAAGTTTAATTGAATGTCTGCACAGTGGTATGCGAGCGAGGGTGCAGCTGAGTGGAGAGACCTCGGTTGACTTTGCAGTTTTCTCTGGTGTGAAGCAAGGCTGTGTCTTAACTCCTGCACTGTTTACTGTTTACCTTTATGCCATGATTTCTTGTGCTTTTAATGCCGGTTGTGCTTACGGTGTTCGTGTGGAGCACCGTATTGATGGTGGGTTGCTGAACATCCGTCGATTCGGTGCGAGAATCCTAGTCCTTGAGACAACTATCCATATGTTGCTGACCACTGTGCGTTGTTTTCACACAGTGCGGATGAGTTGCAGCACAAGACTAGTGCTTTGGCTTCGACAACGGCCAATTTCGGATTCTCCATTAACACAAGCAAAACTGTCTGTCTCTTTCAGCCTGCACCGGAGGTGCAATCTTCAATATTATCGCAAATCAGCATTGGTGCTGAAGTATTGGAAACCACCTCCCGCTTCAGCTACCTTGGGAGTGTGATGTGGAATGATCAGCAGCTACACAGTGAGTTGTGTATCCGCGTGTCGAAGGCAGCGGCGGCATTCCGGGAAGCTTGAGTACCGAGTGTGGAACAACCATCAGCTTACCATTGGCACGAAGTTAATGGTGTACAAATCCATGGTGCTGTCCGTTCTTCTATACGGCAGTGTAACGAGGACGATGTACAGGAGGAATGTGCGATATCTCGAGCGGTTCCATCAGCAGTGCTTGCGGCGAATTTTGCGCATCACTTGGGGGGACAGAGTTGCAGACACGGAAGTGTTGCGCCGAAGTGGAAGGTATGCAGTTGACTGCATACTTTTGGTGAGACACCTGAGGTGGCTCGGTCATGTGTGGCGTGTGGATTCGACGCGGATACCGAAACAACTCTTATATGGTCAGCTGAGTATTGGTAAGCGGCATGTGGCGAAACCAAAGTTACGTTACCAGGACATGATTAAAGTGAGCTTCTCACGTTCTAATCTTGATTGCAGGTCATGGGAATAGAAGGCGATTGATAGGCGTGCATGGCGCGATCTGAGCACGCATGCAATTGCCGAGGTGCAGGAGAAAGCCTTCATGCATGTGGAGAGGAAGCGGCAGGCACCGATGGGTTGTAGTATATCGACATCGAGCGCATGGTACTGTAGCATATGCGGTCTCGAGTGGCTGAGTCAGGCAGGTTTAGTGAGCCATGCGCAAGGCCACTAGGGACCACTACCGAAGCGACGACGGGTCCTGCAGAGAATGTAGGCAGAATCGGTGAAGCGTTTGTGGGTACGCTGCATTCGATTTACTAACCGCCTGCTTGCATGCTAAGTCCCTTTATTTCAGGTGGTGGGTTTGCAATTGTGTCCTAACGCTTTTCCTTCTCATGTCGATGTCATTTGAGCTGACTGTAGTTAATTAGGGTAACCTTTTCACGTTTGTAGCATTTCCTTAAAATATGTTTTCTGACGGCTTGAACTTATCGCGGATTCGTTCTTAACCAGTAACTTGCGCCAATTTCTTGAAGAGTTACGCCGCCTTGTCTGTATGCATTATCTGATTTATTTTATCTTGTCGTTTTAAGTGATTGGCTGTTGCTTGATATCCCTGATGTCACCGCGCTTGATGTGCATGTTGACAAGGTGCCTACCTGTCTATTACCCACTACCTCGTCCATACTGGCTCCAAGAGACAGTTGGTCGTTGCTGGAGGGGACAGGGTGCACGGTCCTTGTGGCCGTGCTAGGCTCAAAGAGCGGTTCCATGCACTCAGTGTGGAGTGGACTACGGTCCAGCCACCGCCTTGTGTGCGCTTGATTCCCCAAATACAGCGTGCTTGTGTTTGCCTGTGAAGGAGTGTGGGCCGGCTCCGTTGATGAAACGTAGCTCCCATCCACATGCCTCCCGGTCTTATTCCTTCGGGTTTACACTGGATGTGGGGTGTGTGGATGGAGCGGTGGGTGGTGCAGCGCAAGCCACCCATGGTCGCTCTGTAGGCGCAGGAGTCCTGTAGCTGTCTCTGTGGAGGCCACAGTGACAGGCAAATCCGAAACCAGATGCCGCCAACCATACATTAGCGGACCTGGTCGGACTAGTAACACATTGTGTCCAGCCCCTTGCTCTGACGGCATGAAGACAACAGAAGGCCGTAAAATGAGTGAATGGCTCGCATATCTCCCAATGTTTTCTCCTTGGTAATTCATAAGAAACCATAATATGGTTAACGCGCTCATTACAAAGAGCAAAGACATGTGGGGGAGGGGGAAGAAGCTGTCTCGGCTAGTCCTCACAAACTTAGTAGACAGCATAAAACGGCACAATCCGAATGAGAATCAGAAGATGACCATCAGAACGTGGGCCTCGGAGTGTGCGTCCAGAAATGGTCTAGAAAAACACGGTAGCAATAGGTGCAAGTTGGAAAAGGCATGTTCATTCAGGTAGACCGCTACACCAAAATTGCTAAGACTGATTTAATGTTGAGACACTACACAATTGCCATGTGCTGAATTGCTAATTGGCATCAGCTACTCGTACGTTGAGGAACGTAGTATACACGAAACAGAATTCAGATGCAACGATAGTGTGGCATGCAGCTTTCAGAACTGGAACAGCAAGATGCGTTTAAGTGCTGTGAATCATTGCGAGGATGCGGCACAGGGCTCAAAAACACTCAAGGCGAGAGGCTAAGGCAAGCATAGTGTGACAATATATTATGCAAACCTTCTCAAAAAGATAAATGATAACAGAAAAGCCGAATGAGTAAGATCCACGTTGACCATCGTGTCCAGCAAAAACACATCCAGTTGCTGGATATCGCAGTGCAGGATGGACATGTACACTGCCAGTCGAAAGGTCGAAATGCACCAGACAGGTGATGCGTGAAGAAGGTGAAAACATGCAAGTGAAAAACAAGTATATGAAAAACATCACAGTTAAATGACGGATGAGTGCAGCAGCATCCGGAAAAAATGAAAGGAAATTCTGCTGGCAAACGAAATGAAGGAACAAATGGCGATACGAAAATACACATCCGGGACTGAGCGGTGAAAATGAGAGAAATGAAAGGAACGGAGCCAAGATGAGTGAGTATAGTATGAAAATAAGTGGCGCAAACGTGTGACGAAGCAGTAAGAGCGACTAAAAATAATGGCCATTGAAGGATCTTATAAATGCAATAACTGGTAAAATGAAAAGCCACAGAAGTATCTGCTTTGTCACACAGTGTTCGGAAAAGTGAAAAATCTAACCTGTCCGATTGGATAAGGGAAAATGAATGCATTAAAAAAGAATAAGCAATCGAAAAATGCAAAAAAGTGCAAAATTTCTAGTGGTTTAAAGTTAATAGCGTGAGTTAATATCATGAATACATCACCGCGAAGACATGAGACGCACAGTCCGGAAGTTACTGGGTTGACGGGAACGCATAAGATGCTGTTCACATAACGAAACAAGTCGCTGACATCGAAGACACAGTGAAAATACGAAGCAGTGAAGCAGAACGAAATCGATCTAATGTTCAAATGCAGAGTAAAAAAGTAAATAAATGCATTTGAGCTTCGACCAAAATCACGATATATGGACGAAGGGCCAGTTCAGACCTCGCGACAGTCTGCAAAAAAAAGACAAAATGAACTACTCACAAGTAGTATATAAATAAAGCAATGCAAGGTGAAGTGAGGCGCTAAAAATCACCACAGCCAGCGAGGGGGCGGTCTGTCAACCACTCTGATGCTCGAGTGTTGGCGCAAAACGCCCGGAGGTAAGGTGGCAACAACCATTACCCTGCGAGCTCCTATATGGAGCGGTAGATCAAACTGACGCAGGACTCTCCGCGGATCCGAACAGATTTTTATTTGGATAATTATGAATTCAACGATGTCGAGTGGGTGATCCGGACCGGTCCCTACGACACTGCCGTTTTGGCGTCCAACATCATTTACTGAGTAAAGCAGCCGGGAACAATGTCTAATGCGGGATTAAATAACACCAAAGGATCAAATACAGTGCAAGTTTCATCAGTGGACACAAATATTAGTTTGTTCATATCACGGATCGAACATTCCGGATGCACGCACACCTATTTAGTGGCACAACCTCTGAACATAGACAAAAACAAGTACATTGGAACACGGTGGAGTCGGACATCTAAGCGTCAAGCGAGCGGATAAGGAGAGAATGACCGTGGGATGGACGACATCCAAAAAAAAAACAAAAAGAAAGGATTTCGAAAGCTTTAAGAGCACGCTTCAAAGTTAAACGAGATGGCTAAGAGCGCAATATAGCCCCGAAACACCTAACAAGCAGTGGTAGACTATCGACAGAATCCACAGTGAACGAATCACGGTGGAAAGAATTGCGCGTTACCATCTTTACGGAACAGAGAAATAATCAAAAAGCAGTAGGGAAAATGCAGTTGAGAAGGACACCAGGCAAGGAGAACACAGACCAGAGGAGAGAAAGACGTTGGTGACACTAGACTCTAAATTATGCTGACTAAACAAGTGGACAGTAGAGTAGCTACAGGCTAGCAAATGGGAGCACTGTGGTAACTGGATATGAAAAAAGTCCGTTTAAACCACGAGCTAGTTTGTCTGCCTGTGCAAACAGGATTCAAACAATCCGCCTGGTAGGTAGTACCAACGCCGTGGGCTTCTGACATAACAGTCAGTTTAAACTGCACGATTGCTTGATGGACTAGATGAAAGGTCGAGCCAGTGATGGAGATGAGAAGACGATGTCTGACAGAACTCACTCACTCATTCGTCACATAATAGCTGCGAGTTGCAACCGAGTGTGCTTTCTAACACAACAAAGTTGATTTTACACGGCTCTACAATTTTTCGAACGAGTAACCTGCTTTCTACCAGTGCAGTAGGTTGGCCCAAGATTGTATGGGAGCAAACTATCAGTGGGGGGGGGGGAACCATTTTCAGTTGGCCACTGATGGCAGTGATTGAGTTAAACGCTACGATCCGAACTCGACCCGACAAGCAGCCAAGAAAGACAAACCAAACATTGCCAGTTGCAGTGGGTCATAGAAACGGATTCCAATGAAGGAACGAGGTGAAGAGATTAGTGAATCCCAAGATGCACTGCACTCGACAAGCAAGAACAACCGCCACTTGTCTAATTATCCTCTACTCATACTAAGCAAACTTGATATATGATTGTTCAGACTCAAGGAAACCAGTTGAACTAATGACATTGCGACTAATTGCACAGTAATAAGGCACTTAGAAGCATCACCATTCGGGGATAGAGACGTACTTATCACGGCCGAGAAGTATGACGATTCGGAACGCTCAAGCAGACCACAGCAATGTTACCAAGGCGACGTGATAAAACTGAAAAAATCTCACATAACAACAACTAGGTCGATAAGTAAAAGAATGACATAAAATTTATGATCAGTCGAATGAAAATTTTCTCAATTTGTCCACATTTACAAATTAGCATACAAAAACGAAACTTACCAAACTACGAAGATCCACGACGGACATGCGTAGAGAGCCTAAGGATGTATAAGATACATGCACGAGTTCCACGCCTGCTCACGAGGGTTATCGCAGAAAGGTTGTGCTCACCGCCTCACACCCGATCGGCATCTCATCAGCTGGTGGATGCGGAAATGTGGCGGATACCGAACCATTGGCAGGAAGCTGGCTTATGGGTGCTGCACAAGAGTCTCCAACCGGAGTGGTTGAGGGTGAAATAGCAGTTTCGGTCTCCACACTGTTCAACATGCCATCTGAATTCAAAACCCCAGGGACGCTGGAGAGGCTCAATGAAGAAGAGCTGGACAGGTTTCGAGTGTGACTGGTACCGTTCAAATTCAGCACAGGGGTGTAGGCGGTGCGAAGATCTTCGCCTGGGAGGTGCGAGTCGATGAGCACTTCGAGAAAATTGACAAATAGCTGCGCGGCCTCCGAATTCTGGTTAGCCTTGAAGTGGAATCAACCAAAGAAAGCTAAGTAGGCACCTTTCGAGCATAGTACATTGGATGTCACAACCACCCAGCATTCTACACCTTATCTAAAAGTGAGAAACATCTCAGCCCCTGTGATAGAATACCTGGTGTCCCACCACATAAATGCCTAGCACAGTAGAATATACGGCGGGTACCGACTAGCAAATGATTGCAGGTGGTGGATGAAGTGAGCTCTGGGCAAGTAGGATGAAGAATACAATCAGTAAACACTCCCTGCCACAAAAGAAAAGGGATGGCTACATTGGACTGGGTTAAAGCCGAAAGGCTAGCAGTATTATGTATCGCCTGATCGAATGTTGATGAACGTGAGGGGACTGAAGTCATCGGCTGTCTCAACCCACGTCGTTTCAGTTCAGATGGATGTCATAAGCGCCAACTTGAGTGGCAAAAAGTTTAGGCAAAGTAATCACGTGTTACACACATGGATTTTGGAGTATCGACCGAGAGACTGAATACTGACACAGAAACAGAGACGAAAATGATTGTGGAATAGTTGGAGATGAGCAACCTAGGAATCTATGTGTAGTTGCGAGTTACTTCGATGGCTAACGGAAATTTGAGTCGGATGATTTATTATGCCTTTGAATTGTGACAGATAACTCGAATTGGGACTTGTGAGTGTTGAGTAAACCAATAAGAGATCACCAGTCAACCCCCACTGGATACTTTCTTGTTAGATAGGCAACCACTAAGTCACCGTTCGGAAGTTCGACTGCTATAGCCTTCTTGCCTGAACAATCCCCAGGTGGACCAACTGATCTGATGAGAGACGATGGATTGATGAAGCACTTCATTATTGCGTTCCTACGTGGTATCTGGAGTCGTTGGTGAAATAAGATTTCAAGGTTGTACCTCTTGGGACGAGAAAAGGAGCCATACACAGTAGCATGTCAACAAGCTGCATCAGCATTGGGTCCTATGCCCAACGCATGGAGCCCCTGAACAAGCTTACTGTTGCGGACAGGTCAAATATCCCCGCAAAAATGCGCCACAAACTTCGGCGTAATGGCTGTGGAAAGCGGTGGCCAATTCTTCCCCACAACGTAGCAGTTTTCAGACACACCGAGACGCAGCACAACTGTGCACCTGTTTACAATGTTCTTTTGCAAACTACCATCCCGTCGTGGTAGCTATTCTCCCTAACTTAATGACCCATAGCATTGGCTGTGATGCCCTGTGTTGGTCGTAAAAGAGCCTTCAGAAGACCACTTGCCTTTCTCTTCGCTGTTAGTTGGGAGTCGGTCGGGTCACGTGATTTTGTGTGCGTCGATAGTCGGGCAGCGTTTGCGTCTAAGCCACCAGCACGCGTCTACCGTAACCCCCTCTCGTGTGCGTAGCCTCGTCCGTTACGAGGTCTCAGAGTTTACCCGAATACGTGCGGCTAGGACCAATCTCACGCTCGCTCAATTTCCGTCTCACCAGCGCGTACCCCGCGCTAAGCTAACGCTATCGGGTCAGCGCAAATCCGTTCGATTGGCCAGCGTTCCAAGCCGTTTTCGTAGGCGTGCTCCAACCATGTCAGTGACAATCTTATCAGGCGTCCCTCATTCTTAACACTTACTCAGCCCAAAAAGGGACATATTCAATGGCTAACGACAAATGCATGGATAATGACAAAAACCACAGTAATTACACTGTCGACACTGACTAGGTGCACACAAGTATGCGCGCGCGCGTACACACACACCGGTGGCCACGGTGCAATGTAAGACTGTGGACGGAGGAGGATAGAACTACGAAGCAAATGAGGACGGTAGAATGTGAATGAGACAGTGAATAATATTGTAAGAGGATAATTGAAGACAGTCCAAAGCCATCATCCAAAAAGCTGGGATAAATCCAGTGAGATAAGATTCGCAGTTAGAGCCTACATGCCCCTAGCTGAAGTCGGAAACTGATGGTACGGGAGTGACTGCCGTGGTGCATGAGTAGCGAACTGCAAGATTGCAAAATGTCGCAAATAAAGAAGGCAAACGCGAGTAAAAAGTGGCTATGTGAAGAGGTAGAGACAATACACAATGTCTTACATCAGAGGCACGCATTTGAGGCCAGACAAATGTGTAAATACTAGTGAAGCAATGCGGTAAAACTGAGAGACTCAGCTCACTTTGGAAAAGTGCCCGGAAAACCTCCATAAACCTCCGAATCCGATACCTGTAAAGTGCAACGGACCTGTTACTTGCGTGATTCAAGGTGAGCACAAAGCGAAGTTAACTCGATTTAGCAGTGCAAGGAACTCACAAAGAGTCTCGGTGGACTCAGAATCCAAGAATCCATCCACCGATGAAAATGACTATAATGCGAGAAAAAGGATCTACGAGGATCTAAGAAGAAAGTATAACGCTGTCAAGAGAATACCTTGGGAGTTGGGGCGGACACACGCAAACGTACGCAGGAGTCATACACAACGGTTACATGCATACCAGTCATGCTTCTGACAAGATGCTGCTAATCCCTTATATGAGTGAGTTCGTGAACTGCTACGTTTTACGGTCACTGATTGGTAGTGTTTGAAATGCGATGCCGCAGTTCGAGATCAGCAAGAGCAGATCAAGAATGAGGATACACGTTCCATGCATGGATACAACGTACCAGGTCAAGCTCACTGGAAAACGTACATCAATAGTATACGTAAAGGAAATCGTCCAAGTGCCTGTCCGAGTATAGGAAGTCAACGTGATGTATAAAGCGCGGCTGAAAAGTTCGACTAACGGTCTCAGAAAATAAAGGAAACGAGAGTTACAAACAAAATACCTCTACTAGACTTCAAAGTAATCACCAATAATTACAACCCACTTTTGACACCGATCGTGAAGCTGTTGGAAACTGTAAGTAAACGATTCCTGTGGAATCGTTCGAACCAACGTGGTCGCGCGCCGTTAGATATCTGCACTGCTTGTCAGCGTGTACGGTACAAACCGGGCACAAATCTTCCGCTCTTTTGAACGTTCGTGAACAATATTGATTACACGGTCTTTGCTTATCTTCAAGTACTCTGCCATAATTCCTCAAAGATAGCCGTCGACCATCCGCAAGCATCTGTCGCACTCGTTGGGTATTGTAAAGGATTACGCTTGTTGACGGTCGACCCGAACGCCGCTCATCCTCGGCACCTTCCTTTCCTTCCTTAAATCGTACAAACCAAACAAAAACACAATTTTCCTCACTGAATTGTGGATAATATTCGACACCAGTAGGAAATGTGACCGCACATATCTGGAAACCGCTTCTGCATGCGGACCGACACAGTATTTGTCTCGTTGCCGTTTTCTTCTAAGACCAGTTCATGAGGTTTACATCATAGGAAGCAATGTTCATAACAAGTGTGGTAGCCTCCTTGACAGCAAGCAGGTTGGGGGGGGGGGGATAAAGGAGCCAAAAGTGGATATTCAGGATGCTGGTGTAACCTGAATGCCCCGATGGCGGGTCGCAGTCATAAGTTGTTTAACGACGTTCGTATGCCTTTTACAACGAGTATCGTATGACTGTACATGACTGAAGGGCATGTGAGAGTGTATCCATCTGACCACAAACTCCATGGCAATGAAGAAGCGATGCTGAGAGAGGTGATCTGCCCCTATCTATGCGTATCTTTCTTGAAAGTACCCCGCCCGAAACTGAATCCCTGGTAGGAATTGTCGGAGGATGATCTTGACCGGTTGTCTGAGCCAGTGGTGAACTAAAGATGCAGTTGTAATGACGCAGAATGAGAGAGCTATCGACAGAATATAAAAACGTCCTTCTCCAAGCCTCCTTTGCAGAAGCCATAGCGAGGACCGGCCGTCTGCACGCAAAGACGGGAGCTGTGGTAATATGATAGATAAATTCCGTGGAGCGATCGAGGATCGCCCAATTGGTTACAGGACGAGAGCTAGATAAATGACGCTTCAGGCAAAATATCAGAAGAAAGGGGATCATGATGAGTAGAGATGGCATCCGGAGGTCGAAGTCTCAGATAGTAGATTAAAATTAGGCAACCGGTTTGTCCTTGGGCAGCCGTATTCTTTGAGGTATGTAGATGTACTACGGCCAGGGAGAAGCTGTGAATGTGAACGAATAGCAAGAAGCTGTGAGGTACTTTTAATTCCTGATATGGCTTCAGGAAAGCTAGAGTGGTCTCTTGAAGTTGAGAGCGGGATTGTTCCAGGGATTCAAGCAGTAAGTTGACTTTTCAGTTGGACAGAAGGCCGAAGTAACTAAACGATTCGTCCGGTTAAAGCGATGCTAACGTGATCAAGGAACACGAGAGTGGAGATGCAGCATAGACAGTAGTTTTCTTGACGATCTACGACGATATTAAGAGTAGTTGACTTCAATTGGCAAATGAGGAGAATCTTTATGAAGCGTTCTAAGATGTTACACCAAGACAGCCGGGGCAAAGATGCTCACATCGTCACCATGAGCCACGCAGGGGCAAAAAGACTGAGATGATGCAGGGTTATGAATGACCTCATAAAAAGTCATGGTAAAAAACAAAAGGAAAGATGGGTCCCTTGACGGACGCCCCTTTGTAGATGCATGCTGATTCACAGTCTGTGTGTTCAAAAGCCAGATCTATCAATTAAATCTAAAAATAATGAAGCCAGTATCTAAATCGAAGTGGTTCTAGACAACCATATTTACCGTGGCCTATAGATGCCTTCGAAGCAGATCTGTGGTAACGGCACCTGCAGGCAGAGAGTGGTGGTGGTGGTGGTGAGGCGGACAAATTAAATGCTGGGTTTAGCTCTGCCTCATCAAGTGCATCCTCCACTTGCCCTCCTTCATCAGTTCAAATGCAAGTGCGTCCTTCGAGATGAAGGCGATGTTCACGAGGAACTCAAACAAAGCTAGTGATGCAGATGCGTTCTTCCCAGTAGTTCTTAGTCTTCCTCGGCCTGGGTAACCGGGAAACTCAATGCCAACACGGCACATGGAACTTTGCTTGCATTCCTCACTCTACATTTTTTGTTATTGTTACTCATGTGTTGTGGCACTCTGCCAAATGTTTATTAGGCAAGTGTTAAATTAAATTAATAGATCATTTCAACAAATGCCTCATTATGGGTGGGATCCCAGACATTTAGACTTCTACCGGAATAGCCCGGCGCCCAAAAATGGATTCCAAAAGTATGGCCAGACTGTGTGTACATCTGTGCCTCTGAAAGTTAAGGAAAAGCTGTTAATTCCGCGAATTTTTACACCCAATCCTGCGGACGATATCTACCTGTTTGCTTGTAGATCCTAGCAATCTACTTTGGATACAGTGCCACTTCGTTTTCATTTCATAGCGTCCGTATTAGAACAAAAATATAAATCCACACGGCTTCACTTGCTTAAATATCTGAACGCTTTTTGGAGCCTGGAGAGGTTAATGTTGCTCAACTCGGTATCCGAGAATGGAGTTCAAGCGGGTGTGTAATCTACTGCGTGACTAATTTACGGATCGCACTTACTTCACGAAGTTAAACGGTAAGAAATCCTCTGTCTCGTCCTAAATTTAAATATACCATCTTATGCTGGTGATAATCTAGGAGTAATTCAGCGACGTATATAATTTCTTGGGACGTCGCAATGCACCCGATTTCGGTTCTTCAGCAGCCCAGATTTTCCTCCCTCGTGGCCCAGTGGTCTTAATCATGAACTCATAAGAGTGAGGTCGCACATTCTAGCCACACAGGTAATAGGCGAAATAACTACTATTGGCCAACCACAAGAAGATAAAACGGCCTTGCAGTGTTCTTTCAGAGGTGCAACGACAGTCTGGCGGAGTGAATGTGAAGAACACGCTTCAAACAAAGATCTCAAAATGAACGACGAAGTAATTAGGCCCCAAAAGCATCAAATTTTATTTCTCAACAGTTTCGTTTAATTGACATCAACTTATGGTTCAATTACCGCTAGATTATTTTTGTTTTGATGTGCAACGTTTAGAGAACTCTTATGTCACCCGTACTGGCTTAACTGTGTCTGTGGGATTGATGCTACCCGAACTCGAGAGCCGAACAACCTATGCGTGAGTTTACTATATTCATGTGACCATAAATGTGCTTCTGGGATCGGGACAATTTATTCCATGCACTACTGGAAGTTGTTAGTGTTCAGGTCATGCATCCATTTGGTGACTCGACTAGACCACCGTGTTTTACGCTGTAACGAAATCGCTTCTAGCTGAGATGCAAGGTAAGTACTACTGGGTCAGAAGCAACTAACAATTCAAAGAGGAGTAGGACAAAGTATGGATAACTCCAGCAGTTTAGCAAAAGATAAACGCTCCGTGAGCACAGAGACACGTAACCCAAGAAGAACCGCGGGAGTAGCGTGCAACGAAGGCTACCAGGGGAGAGAGCACTACATGATGTCCAACAAGATAATCGAGACGAGACACAGTGGCACGGAAATGGGTGGTCGCAAGAGATCCATAAACGGCTAAATAAATAAATGTCAATTCTCGGCAATGCGAGAAACGCACACTAAGGCATAACCAACTTGATGCGTCTCGTGGATGTTGGTTGTGTCAATAAACAACCTCTTGGGTTTCGACATAACAACTTCAGATGCAAAACAAAGCAGTGTGTGAATGTGTGGGAATGAAGCCATCTGATGCAGTGAATCTGTAATTGCTTTACACAGCTGGTACCTGTCGCACCTGTAAGGTGGAAAGGGGGGGCTGGAGGAGCTACGACCTGTCAAGGCTTACTAAGAAAGTAAGCGCTGGTCCCAACTGAGATGGTGATCCGTAATCCGGACACACGGCGGATACTATAAAACCCAGCTAATTTGAGGTGCTTATAATCTAGCATGAGAAACCCGCTCACTTTCTGCCTCTTTGAGTCATCCGACCGACAAAAGCGAGTCAAGTTGCATAACCACGGGGTGATGTACTCCAAACACAAATGCTTCATCTCAATGCTCGATCGACTGAAACCCTGGATACATTCGTCCAAGAACTCCAGAGTCAAATGCGGTTCAAGTTGAGCCAAACGCTTGCTGATCTCGGTGATGAACAACGTATTGTTCCCAGGGATGCACAGCCCGTTAGTCTCCAAGAGCTGTCCTTCGATTTTCAAATTGAAGGTTTGTGTGAGTGCGCAAAGCAAATTGTAGGCCGCCGAACGCAAACTTGGGTCGGAACTACCCAGATTGAGGAGGGCCTGAAATGCACGAAATGGTGATTACATACTCCATATCCAGTCGAAAATAATAATTTAATTAACGTGATAATACATATGTATCAGTTAATTTGTCACCCGAAGTTGTGCAAGCATATAGATAAAGCCCGCACAGCTGGATTGCACAAAGTGGACTAGAACGGTGCTTTCGGTGAGAGTGGCTGGTTTGAATTCTAAGGTCGCAGTCCAGTAGATTTGTGAACGATATCGACTGATGAAAATGTTGTCCATCCAAGTGAGCCAACAGAAGAAGACAAAGAAAGGAGATTGTACGGATGTTATGAAAAAAGGATGGCGTTGTCTTCAGTAGCACCGAAAAGATGAAATTAAACTAATGTGTGTGGATGCGAAGTATTCAGCCAGTAGTCCGACACAATGGGACGGACGGAGTTCAGTGCTGGGTAGCCAAGACGAAGTCCTCGAACGCTTACAAAGTGATGCTTCGCCCTTTCATCCACACACAAACTGCATGTGGTTGAGGGGGTGTGCACAATACAGTTAATCGAAATCACATATAAAACAAACTAACTTGAGTACAGCTTACTCAAACCGGCAAACTGCCCAATAGCCACAGCCAATCTACTGTCCATCCGATCATCTGCGAGACTACCGTGAACAGACTCCAATTAGTAGTCAGTCGCAAAGCAAAAACAATAAACATGCAGGAAATGTTCCCAACACAGCTAAAGGATGCGCAAAGTTGAGGGGCACAAAAGACTCACCAAGTGTGCGGTGTAGTTTAGGACAAATTAAGCTAAATGATTTAAGTTATTTCACAGTCTCAACTCTGAGGCAACACATCCATCTAGGCACCAGCCAGTTCCAGCATGGTAAAATATAAGCATCAATTAAGTCACCGTGGAGTGAGCCGTTCGATGAGTGGCAAGCAAGATCACCAGCTAAGGACTGATTATTATTATTATTATTATCGCCATCATCACCATACAGGTTAGCTAGAGATGTAAAACACCTCAGCTACTCTGCCGCAATACATCAAAGAAAAAAAGAAAATAAACACAACAGTTAAATGCCAGCTGAGCTATCAGAAACGGATGGGCATCGTTCCGAAGGGCTATCAGCTGGCTATTAGGCAACAAAAAAGGATGTAAAATTATATTATGCTGCGGATTGCGATCGTGGTTGGAGAGGGAGGCTAAAGGGGATGTGGAGGGACAAAGAAACTCACAGCACGAACGCCATTGAGGTCGGTTTCTAGCCATGTCAATAAGTATACCTAGCCAAACGTGTTCATCGTCGATTGGACCCCAACCAAGGAGCCGTGACGCTCCAACAGAGGCCAGCACAGAAGTGAGGGCCTTCATTCCTTTTGACCAAGTCATCGCTTGGTCACCCCACCTCCTCTTCCATCCACATCCCCGGTGAGCAAACAACGCACGTCGTGGAAGTCGATGGGCTGGCATGCGCAACACGTGGCCCAGCCATCGGAGACTGGTGCGTGAAATTACGGTGCTGAGCGGTTCAGTTCCTTTTCCTGTGCCGTAAACAAGGCGTCGAATACGCTCGTTGCTCAAGCGGTGTTCCCACCAGATATCAACCGAACTACGGAGGTACCGATGGTTGAACGTAACTAGCCTCTGAGGCCAGGTTTCGCAACCGTACAGTAAGGTCGAACGTACCGCTGCAGTGTACACTCTATCCTTCAGGGCGAGAGGGATGTCGCGCCAGCGCCATAGGTGGCGAAGGTTAGCAAAAGCACATCGAGCTTTGCTATACGGTTCGTGATCTCATCTTTGATCCCAAAGGCGCTGATATAATTTCACAGGTAGTTGAATTTCCGAACTACTTCTAGTTGATTTCCATCAAGAGAGAGCGCAGGAGGCGATCCCTGCCAATCTTGGAGGAACGCTTTGCACTTCGATGGTGTAAAGCAAAGCCCGAAGCGGTTGACAGGCAGTGTTTATCTGTCCAGTGCAGCTTGGCACGTCTGGCAGCTGTCACAGATAAGGGCAATATCGTCTGCATACTCCAAGTCAAGTATTCGTTCTGTTGGGAGTAGCTCCACATTTTCCAAATCGTGTCCTGTGAGTGCAATCTCCATTACTTCGTCAATAGCGAAGTTGAAGAAAAAAGGTGACAGCGGGCATGCTTGTCACACCGCTGGAGAAATTGAAGGGCGGCGACAGCTTGCCTTAAGTTCTCACTCTGCCCATGCTAAGCGCATATAATGCCTTGATAATATTTACATATTTCCCGGGCACATCTTCCCTGAGTAGACAGTAGCAAACGACATACCGATCAACCGAATCGAAGACACCTTTAATGTCGAGGAACACGACGACGGTATGTCGCCAATCCGTGTGACAGTGTTCTAACAAGTGACGCAAAGTGAATATGTGGTCGATGCAGTCACAACCCCGACGAAACCCGGCTTGCTCCTCACGAGCGCCAGTCAGTCTGTGAAGGATGACAGAGGCGAGTAATTTAGAGTCGATGGGGATCAGACTGGTTCCTCTATGTTGACATATTCCGAACGCGAGCCTCCTTTGAAGATTGGAACAATAACGGAGCGGCTCCAGCCGGTTGAGACAATTTCCTGCTTCCACAGTTTCACTAGTAATTCGTGTAAATCATCAACAATAGCAGGGCCCCCGAATTCGAAGAGGGCTGGATGAAGATGATATGGTCAAGCGGTGTTATTCAACTTCAACATTCCGAGCAAACGTTCGAGTTCTGAGCGAGAGGGCGGATCCAAAGGGACAGCCCAGGGAGTAGGGTGATCACTAGCCGGTGAGGCATCTAACAATTCCGATCGATTAAACTGCCTTTCAAAATGCTTAACCCAACGCTTTAAACGTTTTGACGAGTTGTGGATAGGATGTCCACTCTCGTAACGCATAGTTTCACTAACGCTAGGTCCCCTGCTGCCAGTTTCCCGTAGCAGACGGAACAACTTCCGATGGTGACCAAGGGTAGCGGCCACTTCCATCTCTGATGTACGAAGAGACAACCAGGATTCACTATCTATCTTCAGGCTAGCACGGAGTTTTGCAATCAGCACGTTTCATTGTGTTCGCTTCCAGCCAGAATATACCGGCGAGCATCAACAACTTCCAGAGACTGCGAAGAGACCCAATGTCCATATTGGCTAGTAGACTTACCACATGAGGATTTGCCTGCTGCTAGTAAGGTCTGGTGAACATGTGCCCAGTGACCATCAATTGTCTCCAGTGAGCGCTTACTCAACCCGCATGTCAGCGTATTTCGATACGCATTCAGAACAGCTATCTTCGTCAGTTGGTTGGTGTCAATGCGCGAACAGCGTCGTCGTAGGCGTCCACCAAAACGCATCCGCAGGTCAGCATGGAAGTGCATGGTCGGTGTCCACACATGCGCTCCAAATCGAACAACAGTTCTGGACGCAGCATCTCCATCGGTAACTGATTGCAATGTGATCGATTTGCGTCCAAGGATGGTGGGCACCAAGTCATCCTTCGGCAGGTGCTGTGTCGGAAGTTAGTGTTCGCAAGAAATAAGCGGGCATCATCACATGAATGAAGTAACCGCTCACAGTTATCATTACGGGAGCCTACACCATGTTGGCTGCCCAGATGCAGTTCATCAATGGATAATTTTTCAACTTGAGCGTTCAGATCCCCCGCCAGCACTACAGTGTCCGTGCTCCTTCTGTAGCGAAGGAGCTCGGTCAGTTGGCGGTAGAAATCGTTACTTACCGAATCATCGCTAAAGTTTGTGGGTGCGTATGCAGCAATGACCAATAGACTCCTATTAGTCCCTTGCGACTTCGAAGCTTTGAACGAGCCTGCCAATAGGACCGCACATATCCGGCTACTGATTGGAATCCAAACAACCAGAGCAGCTTTAGCCCAGGGACTCAAGGCAATGTCAACACCAGGTTGGCCGGTGCTCGAAGCTGCATCGTCACCGGCTAGGCGCAATGAGAAAATACTGCTTGTATCACCGGAAGAGGATCGCAGAGTGAGCACAGAGCTCGAGTCTTGCAGGCGGATGTCCGGTAAGCAGCAGACATAGATGGAGAGGGTCTCTAAAGTTGAAGCAAGTGCTGCTTGTTGACCGATCTGTAGCAATGTGCGTACATTGAGGCATGCCAATCAGAAGGAGGATCGAGGGCTCCAAATGGAAGTCGATGAACTGGGGTGGACCGCTTGGTTAGACATGGGCATATCGACAGGACAGGGGTGACGCTCTGCGTTTGCATCTGAGTTGAAACTGGAAGATAAACGCCTAGCAAAGCATGTTGGGGGGAGGGTAAGAATCGGAGGGTTGAAAACTGGGGGGGGGGGGATAAAGGTGAAGTTGGAACGAGATGATAAGAGTGAAAAAGCGTAAGAGGGTGAACAAGAAGACGAAGCTTGTGCAGTAGCATCCAAACGCCTATCCACCCTGTTCGATGCAGGAGATAGGACACCGTTTATTATTCTCTGGGACGGTCAGAGAATCACGAAACTGTTTGAAGAACACTCGCATACCCTCATCCACATCCCAAACTACAAATATTCCCACGGATTTCTAAAATTCATTGCACTGATCAGATGTAAGTTACTCATAAAATGACATTAAACATCGAACTCACTATATTGAGCAGAGTGCCGGGCACATCACGTGGTCTGATCTTCGTGTGCACTGCGTGAGTGTCCGGTTGGGAAAGTGCCCAACGAGTGCGTATGTGAATAATGGCCTGCACAATGGAGTCGCAGGCATCATGAATGAACGAAAGCGGGCCGTTATCATTGGAAATGGTGAGAGTGAACTGATTGTCGTCCACGAGACAAACCTAAAGAGTAGAGGAGATGAACACTGAGTATCGCACGGTGGATCGATCGATTCAGTCTGGCGAGATAACAGTGGTCTGAGCGACAATGTGGATCCATGCGCACACAAAAGCGGAGATGACATGAAACCATCAGATTGATCGGATTCGCCTCGGATACAACCCTACATTTACCTTGACTCTTCAGCCTCACAGTATAGAAAAACACAAATTGCTGCGCTGGAGATTGCCGAAAGTGCGACCTAAGTTAAAATGGGTCCAACAATTCATGGGAATCTCGTGAATCCGATTATTTCTTTGTTCGTCCGAGCTTTCTCATATGCTGTTTCAAAAGGAGCATAGATGATTACACCATATTGCTTGTCCCATAACATTCTGCTACATTGCAGGAAGTTTTCCAATTGCTGGGAAGCTCACTGATGTCCATCTCTGCATTTATTCCACAATATAGCGTTCTCCTGACTTGCAGGCCCATGGTATTTCGAGAACCGTTATCAACAATCTTTCAGTCGAGTGCATGTGAAATCGTTGATAGCAAATCGAGCTAACTGCGACAATCCGATGTGTAAAATATCCAGGCAATTGCGCTAATGATGAGCATACCTGTTAGGTTGAACCTGAAATATACTAAACACCTGCCTTGCGTCTGGAAAATAAACAATAAAAAACAAGGGTGGTATGGCCCTTAAAATCACCCAAGTTTCTGCTACTGACTGTGCATCTATCAAAAAAAGCAAGCTATACGAATATCGCGCTGAATCTAACCACATGGTTCTGATACAGTATAGGAGAGCAGTGCATCACGTAGCGGAGAGGTAAACAAATAGATAAACAAATGAAATAAAATCAAAAGATAAGCTTTCATTTAAGTGCAATGCAAAGTGCGTACCTCTTCAATCTCAGAAGCGTAGTAGACGTCATTTAATATGGCTGGGTGCCCAAGAACCCTGCTTTTCTCAGTTGACGTGACCTGGATAGCATTAGTGCAAACCTGAAAATTTCAGATAGGGGATGGAGGATTAGGCTATGCACACACAAGATTCTTTCTCGCTAGATTTATCCGTGAGTTATTTCGTGGAAATAACCGCAACACCCGAGACAAGGCACAGGAGATCCAACACGTCACCACCAGGCTCATCCCACGTTTAGTATGATTGCCGTACGAAAAGCGATGCAAGGAACTAGGACTTTACGCTTTCTCCTATCGTCGGTTACAAGTTAATCACGTCGTGATCTACTGCGTATTAAATCTCTGACTTCCCAATGCTGACCCCGCTGCTCCAACTGGTGAACACCATGAAGACAAGGATACAAGCTTGTGGCGCTGGAGATATGGCGAGTTCGCCACCTTCTGTGCTTCGATCGAATAGTGGTAAATGCTTGGAACAGTCTGCTAGGATAAGTCGTGGAGGCCAAATCCGTGCAGCAGTTGAAAGCTGTGTTGGATTTATATTTCCACACTATTCGATTTGGCGAAAGATTGCCTACTGACAATGGTATCTCGCAGTTGCGAGCCTAGTGATACTGCGAGTCAGATATTTTCATACGCTACATCAGAAATTGAAGAAGGATAGAAGTGTTAACAGGTGACGGATAGTTTTTAAGACGTTTTAATTATATGCCGATGGAGTTGCACATATTTAAATTTCTACTTACTTCCACAATACAGCATTCAGGCCACAGGATGAAAGTTTTTTGCCACATAAAGATAAAGCAGCTTACTTTGATAGCCACCTTGGTGTCTTTGTGTGACAACTTCAAAGCGTTAGTGAACACGCGTAGATCTTCCTCGAGCACAAGAGTCCCACCGGGCAAGCGCTGTTGGTCCGGCTCGATGTACTCGTTCAGTCTACTTGGATGGTCTAAGAAGAAAAGTTTCCGGGATCCCTATTAAAAGAAAACATAGGTAATGTTGGCCCATTGGTCAACAAGTAAAACGCTACAGCGCGGTCAGAAACAAAGCCGCTGAGAACTGCAGCCAGGACGATAGCACATGTTAACCAACAGTTCATATCTTGTACAAGTCTCGAGCGAGTAGTGCTGATGTGCAATGGTGGCTTTTCGGTAACGCAAGTTCTAGTGTTGCATTGGGTTATCTGTTTGGCCCAAACTGCTCAAGCCGCGTGCGTCATGCTCCTCGGATTTCGAAATCCCATAGTCTATTGATTTGTTTGAGGCGCAACACCTGCTAGCAAGTTACTCACCATTCTGGACTGAAGATGCCCCTTCGATTAACAGTAAAATGTCTGCAATCAAACTGCCTCACTCGGAGAGCCGATCAGCACAAGTGCCAACTCGAGCCCCAGGTATTCGGACTTGGCCATAAGTCTGGAGGAGGTCAGCGGACGAGATGGCAATGGGATATGAAGAAACTAACAACATTAAATCGGGCAAGTGCGTAGTGTTTTGTAGAATGAGAAACAAGAGGATGGTCAAAACGATGGTAGGGGTCTTGTTCGTGAGGGTAAAGTCAGCCAAAGACTGGTTATGTCTGATAACTCGCTTCCGGCCATCAACTCTGTCACCGAAGGATCTTGAGCTTTGTTTGTTTTGAAGCGATTTTATTCTCCCCCTTATCCATCTCTCAATTCCCAAACCGTGATCAACTTTTATAATGGCGATGCGATCTGTGATCGTTGAACAGGTCGCAACCACATGATGGGATTGTGGTTGATCACCAGAACTGGTGACCACAAACTACAGCCCGGATCGATGAAACAGGTGAAATCATAGGGGGAGGGACAGAAAATAGAATTGGACTCACCTTGATAGACGCGAAAAAGCAATCATGCATTTTGGTATATTCGCGTACCCACGAGTTGCAATTGTATATATAGGCCGCTACGAGATGCTCCCGCAAAACTGGTCCAAGCACTTGGGCCCATTTGTTGAGTAGATCATTCTGTAGCGAACGGATTGATCAGCGAAAAAAACTAATTAGTCAAGTGGATAAACACTGTACTGGTGCATACAGAGCTGCGGAACACGCAGGTGCAACAACTACCGCACGGGCTTCGACATGCAGTGATGTACCTGTGACCTAGTGGGCTGTCCGAAATTCGCTACAAGGAAGTTGGCGGCTTGTTAAGGATAATCCTTGCTTCGCAGGGACCAGTCTTCTGTGTTGCGATAAAGCGCGTAGTGGTCTGAGTGGCAATACATATTGTCTAGCTACTTATCCAATACCGCTGTTCCCGTCTCTAATGCTCTATCGATAACATCACAAAGACGTAAAAGTACATGCCTGACGAATTGTGAGGGGAAGCGATAAACGGTGCAGGGCTGATGAAGCCCGACCACTGAGTGCATCTCCGAGCACGTGGCGTGGAAACAAAGGCAAGCTAGAGAGGAGATGAGTCACGTGTGGATTAGTGTTCGACAAACCAATGAGGAACAAAGAAGGTATTGCGTACATTTGAACGACAACGAACAAGTGCTGATGCGGGAATGCAAACAAAAAAAGCATCTCCATCGTTGTCCGCTGCCTTGACCTGTTTGATGAGAGGACTAGGTTATCTCATGCACAACGCAGGCACAAACGCAGTCAGACTCCTATAAACGACGCTGAGATTGCATAAATAAGGTACCGAGTACTGGTGTGTTTGCGGTCTAGGTGCTGTGAGTCTGTCAAATAGATAATGAAGATGAAGTGCCCAATTTTTTCGGTAAATTTTTGTTTCTCTTCACGTCCTATAAGTGATATAATGGCGCAAACATCATAAGTAAGGTAGGATTGAGGGGAAAGGCTCGATACTTTTGTGGTAGTATCACCGTGTGTTGCAGTGAACCTACATGAGTATTAGTGAGTAAAATTATGAATGAGCAGAACTCAGAGGGGTAAGAACACCCAAAGGACAAACAATTAGCATTGGAGGCCCTAATGACGAAGAATAATCGGGTTGTGAGATTGACTTCATGTACAGAGTCAAGTACCGCCACACATGCTACTCACCTAAAGCTCGGTTTGAAGGCGTATGAACATAATCTCACCTTAAATCGATTTTCGACATTGACGTGGGTGAAATCTACGACCAATTCGAAGGGCTTATCCCGGTAAGTGTCCAGCGTCACAGATACCAAACAGATTATCAAAGGATAGTCCTCGCGTTGGTATTCTTGTGATCTAAAATAGGACGGCGCGGTGAAGTCAATAAATTTAAAAGCAAAGTGCACGTGGGAAGGACACAAATTAAATGACGGAGTAAAACCTGAAAACGAAAAACTGGAAGAACCTGACTATCATTCAATTACTCTAGATAAAGAAAGCCGAGTTAGTTCGGCTGCAACATAAATCGGTGTGACAATGAACGACATACTTGTAGCGTCTGGCGATGTAGTAAAAGACAGGATTTCCCAAACGACTAGTCCCAGCCTGATAGAAAACGTTTAGTGATTTCAAACGCTTGAACTCATCGCTATCACGAAATTGATACGCGCGGAGTGCCCAAACTTCCAAACGATTCGAAGTAAGGTCCATGTAATTCCACCTGCATGGTAGAGGAGAAAGGGTGGAAAGCACTTCACACGCAATGTTATAAGTGCAACACAGAGACGAATTAGTTGAAACTCCAGGTGAAAAGAGGTCGACAATTAGCAAGGCGCAATGAGATGCACAGAAGCAGCAGCTTCGATCTGAGAACTTAAGTGAAAGGGTTCCAGCTGCAGTAAACTGCATCCCCAAGAGGTGTAGAGTGAAAGAAGAAACAATGTATGAAATGTAAGAAAAACGCGACAAAATGGAGCGAGCAGTGAGAATCGGCGGTTCGGATGCAAGACAACCACTGATATCTCTAGGATGCGTCATGTTAATGGAATTCCAATACGTTCATGTGGTTAACCTTAAAAACACCAACCAAAGTGCAAGACTGTGAAGGAGAACAAGCGAAGAAAATTATGGAGAAAAGTGCATGTGAAACCAAACCGAAAAGTGGAATATGTTGAGAGCTAGAAATAAAACAAATGCTGTTGAAAAGGGAAAGGGATTGGCTGACAGATATGAGAAATATTAGTGACAGGGCACTTGCAGAAAGGACACTGCCAAGCCCGTGAGTTGACATCCTTAATCCACCTTGCCATGTTACTGTATGCTTGCTCTCGTTCACCCAGGTGTAGTCTGCGGGTGCTCGAAGAACATGAAGAAATAACTTCGACGGCGCAAGCAAACCGTACGGCCGGCATGTCACCGGGGAGACCGTTACTAAACAATAATTGAACGGTTTTGGTTTAGGTCAAAAGCGGATCGCGCCAGATCTAAGCACTGTCACGAGCGAGCGTGATGAGATACATGAGCTACATAATGACGTAATGGCCATGATGCCGACCGGTACAGCAACCCTGCGACATTGAGGGCTCTTACTATATCCAAGGAAACGAAACAATCACGAAGGAAGATTATCGCCTCGGAAAGACAGTAAAATGATGGATGTGGCATTCTAGCTTATGTTTGGCTTGCAGGAGGCACCTATCTGTGGTACCATTTAGGTGAATCGGTGAGTATCACCGTTCAGCAGACGACTCAGCGAAAGGTTGCGAGAAATACCAAGTTATCGAGTGCGGGGCAATCACACTACACAGTAGTGGGACATACTGAATGGAGCCTGTGTCTAAGTCAAAAGTAAAATGCGTCGACCCGATTTGGCATGGTCTTCAAGTGGACGCAAATGACGAATCTTGTGGGGTTACGTCCCAATTTGAAAAACACCGAAGCAAGGACAAAAGGACTTTTCAGTAGTGCACAGGTGCGTTTGGATAATATATCTTCAATGCCAGAGGAATTGATTGAATGATCGAACGGTATGCAGCTGCCAAAGCAAATATGATCGCTTAAAATGCTTATTCGGTAATTGCAAGAGCCGGTAGTGTGCCGGCCCAGTCCAACAACTCCTGTAACGTAGAAACCAATACACACACCGAGTTGCGCAACGTTGGTGAAGAAACTGGATTCGAATCGAAGAGAAGATGCTGTCCGTGCACTTCGAAATTGTCGAGTGCTCATCTGTTAGAACGATTACACCATGTGAATTAGTCAGGATAGCCACATGGTCAAGGAGAAATGTGAAGATGAAGTGGTTCTGACAAGCCCGACATACCAAATGGACCTCGGGAAAGGTCTCCTATAGGTCTACAAGCTGGAATCGCAGTGTATAAATCTCAGAATGGAAATTACTCTTGCGCTCTGCGTAAGGCAATATATGAGCGCAAATGGGTGGGGTCGACTGATCATCGCGATGAGACTGGACCTTAACCTGATGCGATGGTTTTCCTACCACCTTGACCCATTGAGCTACGTAGGATGGCAATTTCCAAGTGCCGTCAGAGTCACTCATACCAGAGACAGGTCAATGGGCATGGGTCAGACTTACTCACTCTCACAATTCTCTTCGGAGGTTGGGGAGAGATCGATGCCCCTCTACCTCTAAAACGTAACCAGGGAAGACAACACTCTGCAGGCTATAAGCTCACAGCTCTATTGCTTGACATCATCCAAGGCGGTGGGAGAATGTCGTCCAGTGCTCAATGGTTTGCCACCACCTGCCTTAAACCAGGAATGTCAGTCAAATGCGAACAAATCCGTCAACTTCAACTTGTGGTTGGTCGTGGTCGCAAAAGATACTACAGTCGAAAAACCGTGAATTATTCTAAATCTTCAAACACTGCCTGTAACAGATCTCGAGCAGGTCCCAATAGATTTCAGAAATCACACACCAGAGCTGAACTCGCTCTCTACCGCCTTGTGGGTCAGGTTATTAAGCCGAAGTATCGGGGCTGCATCAATAATGCGAAGTTCCATGTACCCCATTGCTTTGTTGGTCAGCTGCTGGGTACAGAGTAAAGATGGGGCACCTTGAACAAAACCTCTAGTTTGGAATGGGCAGCCAGAGGGTACAACGCGCCCTCTCTATCTCGTCGCCAAAATCCAGCTTCTTTTTCTCACCCTTCCAACTCTTCCCTCGTCTTATTGAGGAAGAGACTGCTGCTAATCTCGCAACTGGTGCTATCGATACATATAAGTCGTCCCTCAAACTAAGGGTCTCATTTCACATTGATTAGTTTAACGCTCGCAATCGGATTCGGATCAGTCAACAGGCGGTAGTAAATCGCCAACTTCACTATGTCGGTATTGATGTGAGCTGTGTCACCGAAACATGCATGAAAGATAACAACGTCGAAATGAATCTTCGATTCCATAGTTTCGATTCTGTTGACAGTGATTACACCCTTCGCGTCTCTGGTAATACTGAGTCACTGGATCAGGGTATCTAAAGTGTTGCCCACAGCAAACAAGCCAAAGGCAATCCGCTCCGCATGTGTGCGGTTCGACTTCGAGTCTCTAATAGAGCTGATATCTACCGTATGAAGACAAGTTGTATTCTCATAGTCTCAGTTTAAACCCCTACTGACAGCAGCTCAGAGAGTATCACAGATGATTTCTATCGTGAACTCCCATATCTTCTTCACCTGGCGAAGACCCCTGACATCTTAAGTGTTACTTGTGACCTGAATGCCCAAGTTGGTCATCTTTCAGATGATGAACAACACCTGGGAAGCAGTTTCCGCGTCGATGCATGTCGAGCAGACAATGATAATCGATTCTTGCAACTCTGCGCCGACCACAACCTTTATATTAAGGGCACCACTTTCCAGTACAAATCTTCACATCGTGTCACCTAACGCTCACCGAATTCCGTGATGTCATAGACTCAAATTGGTCGGCAACAGCTACAGATGGCGCACATCATACCAAGAGTGTCGATCATTGGGAGTACGTGACTGAATTCCGACCGTGTTCTAGTGCGTGCACGCCTGGCACTCACACTCCCCGCTTCAAAGAAGCGCCTATCATCTAAACTCCTTAGCTGTAACTGGAACTCCCAATCTGCCCTTCATCAATATCATGACGAACTGGCCCAGCAATTGTCAGTGATGAATGAGGTTGGTGGATCGTACACTGGCAGAGATCGTCTCAAGTGTGACATGAAGAATGCTTCTGACGCATGTTCTACACCCAACATGAGATGTTCCGTGTATGGAACTTCGAGGCGTCAATAAGTTTGATCGAAACACGGAAACAGGTTCCGGTGAGTAGAGTTTCAGCATGTCCGTAACGCTATGAAACGACGAATGACAAGGAGTTTCGGCGTTGAACGGGAACACTGGTGGATGGCAAGACCCGTGAGATGGGGAAAGCCAGTGCTATTTGGAACAGCCGAGAAATATTCCAGCTCATCCGGATCACGAGTCCGAGAAAGCCATCCGTTAGCGAGACAACAGCTGAGAAACATGAACTATTGGTCCATTCTTAGCATCGTCCACTAGCCCGTTGGACGGAATACTTTGAAGAGAAGTTCAGAAGGCATGTTGTGACATTACCTTTTGCTGAACCCCTTAGCCTAACGCGGGAAGCTGATGTCACACCTCCATATTTGTAAGATTCATCATGAGCTTTCTGTGTTGAAACGAAACAAGGCTGTGTAACAGGACGATCACCTCTAAACTTCTCTGGGAGATGGAGGCGAATCTTTGTTGACTGGACTTGTTGCTCGATACAACACGATTTGGGAAACTGAAATGGTGCCTTCAGACTGGTGGCTGTCATGCCCATATTCAAAGTGTCACATCCACGGCATAAGGACGTTGTTAAACAACTCGTGACTGCGATCCGGCGTCGGGGTATTCAAATTACACCAGAACTCAGAACACCCACTTTGATCTCGTTTATCGAACCCGACCTGCTCGCTTTCAAGGAGACTACCGCACTTGTTATGAACGTTGGTGCAGACCGCATGAGCTGATCTTACAAAAACGGAAACCAGACAAATACTGTGCCGGTCCGTATGCAGAAGCGATTTCCAGATATGTGAGGTCACATTTCTTACTGGTGTCGAATATTATCCACAATCCAGTGAATCTGAGTATCCACGGATTTGTCTTTCGACTGCGACATATTTAAACTCCCTGGGCCTTTCACTGTTTGACATCTGGGATCTGTTTCCACTACTCGCGGGATGCGCAGCGTGTATGACACGTATATGCGCGGAGTCTCCTTTCTACAGCTAACACACAACACACTGACCAACTTGGTGTGCGGTTCCGCCCAGTTTACTGAGTCCTTTCTTCCGGTCTACTGTCTTGCCGCCTGCCAGTACATGGTTTTGTCTTGGAAATTTGCCGTATGTCCTGACCTCGGGTTATGCACGCAAATTGTCAGAAATGTTATCGGTTCACATATTGCGGTAACTGGAACAGCGGTGAACCTGCGATATCCGTGGTCTCAGAAGAGGATTTCTTTCGGTCTGAAGGGCTGTGTAAAAGGCCACAACAGGGGACATCCTACTCGATGAAAGTGAAAGTTGGCGCCCCCAAGGCATTATTCGCTAAATGTAGGGAAGCGCGATGCCCGATTTGGGTAAAAGCTGGTTTAGCGGCGGGAAATAAAAACTCTGAATACTAATCTGGGTGCTGTTTGTCTATCCCACTTTCCAAACTAGTGTCCGGGTAATCTGCCTAATGCTTGGCTCCGGAAATTACATGATACGATTCGCAGTCTGTATCAGAAGCACGTCTGCTATCGTCGCGGAGACGGACTACCTGTTTAAAGTGCTGAGTTATTGGCGGAGTAATGGCTAACTATGAATGGAGCAGTGGAAGCCGCAAAGAAGGTTGCTTGCCGATACCGACTTATTGTTATTTTCACACCTTACGTCATTTTTGTTGTACGATAGAAAGCAAGCCGTTCAACTAATTGATGTACCGCTATTGATGACAAAGGTGACGATGGTAGTGCTCTAACGAGTCGCTTGTGAAAAATAGACAAGCGCCTATAGTGGCAATCAGTTCCCTCGACTGCATGTCGACTACGAAGTTCTCATTGGCAGCCCACACTTGCAACTATTCATTGGATAGCGAAGGAAAATGTATTACTTACGGTTAAATCAATGCAGGTTAAGAAGTGGATCTGAAGAATCCATCTAGGTCTAGACGGTATTTTGGCGCGCAACCGTTGATCACACAACCGACTCCAAAGAAAAATAAAAAGTTAAAGTCATTTGCTAATCTTAAATCACAGTCGGTTGAAAAACTTCATCAAGAGCGCTTGGGTTTTCAGTTATTATTGCCGAACGATGTGAGCGAAAAAATAGCGATTGGAACCGTCTCTGAAACATAATGGGGCTCCCAAAACCACTTGTCTCCTTAGCTTCAGGCGACCAAATGCTGGATTGAGTGTTGGTTTTATTAGTTTAACTAAAGCATGGAGTTGGTCTTTTGAGCACCCAGTGATAAAGTGCCATCCTCGCACCGAAGCGACGCATGTACAGTGGCATCAGTGTTGATGGACGATGTGAAATGAAAGCACGTATTGGCATTGTGGCCGCTTTTGGATTGGTCGAACTCAACAATCACCACAATGAAACCTACTGCTGTCTACCATTTTGCAGATAGCCTGCTGCACTTCTGTACTCCAGAAAACACAGCTGACGATTGTTTCGAACCTGACGTATCGACATGAATCATCAACGCTGAAAGGGAACAGAAGACGGGAACTCGAAAGTCGATCGCAACCCGCACTGACCATGACAATAGTCATAGCGTGATTGGGTAAAGGAACCTTCAGAGCGGCCGTAGTCGGTCATTCTGTCCCATTTCAAAAGCTGTCATCAGAATAAAGTGAAAACAAGTAGTGCACTAGCACTATCACAAGCACTCAAACTGAACGCGGGCATCGTAATCCACTGGCTCATTGGTCTGCGTAACGCATGATTAAGTGAAGAACATTGTTTTGCTCTCAGACCATGAGTAGGCCAAACTAGCACTCCAAATCGTACCAGCGAACAGTTAAGCACGACCGTCCCCTTAGCCCGAAGGCTACCTTGGATTCAATCAATTCCACTTATTTGTAGGGGTCGAGTGGTCTGTACGCCTGACTTGCAATCATAAGATTATCGGTTGGAATCCGCGTAGGGGCGGGCGTCCTCGCGGTATATTCAGCCCACGCGCAACTGGTGGTGATCACGCTGCAGCGAAGTGCCGTTAAAGGCATGCAGCTGACGACTTATTTTTATTTTACTACCTATTTGCAGCGATATCTCTCTTTGAAAGGGACACGAGAAGGATCTCCCTTATTTTCAAATCCACACACTGTGACCTCAGGGACAGCGTACGTGATCTGTCCCTGACATTTTGAGTGCATTAGAGCTACTCTATGGTGCACTCCAATTGTCAAGTCTAAGACTATAAACGACTGTCTTGGCTAATCCATCTGCAGTAGGTATTCTATTAGGTGGCTACTCTATGATCTTCGGAGAAGAAGAAGATGGGATGCCCACTACAAGTCTAACACAGCCTTATTACAAACGATGCTAAGTATGTCGACGTGCTTGAGTATGCGCCTCTCCAGCACAGCACAAATCACAATTCCTGAACTGCGTTGACACGAGTTCCTTCAGTTAACGAATAGATCTGGAAGTGGTCGATCGGTTTCCATCTATCTGAGTGGCTGCACAGCCCATAATTGTCACGTCACAGAACAAATAACTGGGCATAGGAGAATGCCGCATGTGATATTCTTAAACCACGGTGCGATGGATGGAGTACACTCCGCTGCATTATAGTGAAACCCGGTACCTGCGCACAACGGCTGCTTCGCGCACAGAATAGGCAGTGCAAGTGACCGCCTGTTAGGGCTAGTGTAATTCTAGACGGAATCGAAGTCGAGTGCTCTAGTAATCGAAGTCGATTGACGCTGCAAACTCATTATTGGGTGTTGGAGTACCCGCCGTGTGTCTGGATTGCGACACGCAACGTCAACTGGAGACAAGGCTGTTTGAAGTAAACCAAACGGTTCAAGTGCATGGTCCAACTTGCCGCTGATCCCACACTGATGCACGTTTTGATCGCTACGTGAGTTCGATCTCCAATTGTAGATCGATTCAATGTGACGCCACACTCCTCGGCTTGTACGCTGGCTCTCCGTAACATCCCTTACAATCAGTGGGCTCGCATCCGAAGTGGAGAGCTCGGAGCTACTTTCACCCAACCCTGCACTCCACGACTGACCGGTTTCATCCCGATTTGGACTCTTTCAATCGCTGTGTCAAGCGCTGAATGCAGAACTCAGTGGACTGATGACCAAGCTGTAATCCGAAAACCAGTGTGTGTCGAGTTCCACTCTCGATACAGACTATCTCCACGTGATGAATCCGAACACGGATGAGGTGCAGTGATGAGAGGGAGCAGCACAGACGCTGAAAACGGGTTTGGGGCAAAGAAGGCAGTTTTAAGTACAACCGAACGGAGTTCAACCACATTTCTGGACGTGAACGCAATTAACTCAGCTCAGTCGGTGGGGTGGAACGCTGATTTCCGACACTAGTTCTTTATGTAATCTATTACCCTGCTGGAATGATTACACACGCATACATGGGAGCAAATAATGCCAGTTCTTTTCGGTTGACTTGGGGACAAACAAGGCGGAGAGAAATGAGTGCTTTCAGTACCGAGTTACGAACCGCCAGTTGGCGTTCGATGGCAGATCGTTTAGCACGGAGCTCGGATATGTTGAATCCAGATCGCCTGATTGGGAGTAGCTATATCCCTTGTGCTTGCGGACCAGCTTCCAGGACGTTTACCGTATACAGAGAAGGCGCTAAGAGATTAGACAAGGGAAGCGATTGCACTATACATTTTCTCTGTCACTCCATAAGGCTTTCAAAATGAAGCTATCAAAGTGCATTCAACTGGCGCGAACTCTCCTGAATGATATTGTTCATTGAATAGCTAATCCCAAAACAGCTAATAGCACCCAACTATATGTACTCATCTATTATACTATCGGCTAAATTGGAATTGATTATCCAACGAACAGTATGCATGCTTTAGGGGCTTTGAGCCCGTTGGATGCAGCTTGATAGCGTTATGGACCAGCTTTAGAGATTGATGGAAAACATGATTTTCGCAAGAGGGAATTTGAAAGTGCTATGGATGCAATGGACTAAGGCATAGTGCACGCTGTTTGTATCATTTGGGTTTCCCGATCAACTAGATCGGCGGACACATGCGCCGTTTCATAAAGGGCAGGTCTACTGGAGTTACCGCGTTTGTTTTCGTGCTAACCTTATCGTCCGATGAGCCCGGACCAGGTTTCTCCTTGGACTTTAGTCATCATTTATTCACCACTTTAGACCGTTAGTACCACGATGAAGTTAAGCGCAAAGGTTGAATAGTAGTACCAGTGTTACAGTAGCTTGAGCGAAATACCGGTAAACATCTTGAGGTGTGCACACAGACCGAGTTGCTTTAGCTATCGTTAAGATGGCGAAACACAAGCGCCGCAAAGGTAAACCTGATTATTTCCGGTGCGTGTGAGACATTAGACAAGTTCATCGATTGAGCCCAGTGCATTGTAACTGGTGTTTGAGGGTTGTTTGAAAGAGGCCACACAGCACAACACCCATTCACATTGCAAGGGGTTGTAGTACGGTTAAACCGGTAGGAAAGCAACAAAAGTACCAAAAGATTCATGTGCCGTTTGGCTGGAAGCAAGTCCACAATAAGGTGCGTCGGTGGGCTTCGGATGGGAGCGGGATTGGCGGTAAGAATCCTCGATGAAACTCAGCGGACTGGAAAATATGTACGCGCCGCAGGAGGCCGATAAAAGAAGGGCATCAGCAGTATGCCGGTATGCAGTACCGACGCTTCGCTGCCGTGTAATCACCACCGGTCGCAGGTGGGCTAGATAGTGTGAGGGTCGCCCTGCTTCTAAGCAGGCTCGAAACCGCGCCGTCAGATTAGAAGAGAAGCTCGTTACCCTTAGGTTACGGGCCGATGCATATGAACGACTGTTAGTGCCTGAAACAGACTACTCCAGACGAGGCGGGGATTGCAGTAGTATGGTGCGATAAGAGTCGAGTAAAAATAATAGATGTGGTTGGAAATCTAGTGGGTAGCACGTAGGTGACCATCATTGCATCGTGGCTGAGGCACGGCAGCGGCATCAGTAGATGTTCACGACGGCGATGACTATAAGTTGCTTAGAGGTTGGACAATAGCGATGAACTAGCGTGTAGCTCATCATGTCGAGGGTACAGAGAGCGAAAAAGAAAACACAGAATTGAAACTCACGCAGAATCCACGGATTTGTATTGAGGAGGACCCAGATGCGCAAGCAATGTAACCATTCTATCAAAGGGTTGTCGACCAACAGCCTTGCGATCACTGCAAAATGAAAAGGTGATGAATGCCAGGGGGCAATGCAAGCTGCTGAGTAGTATCCGGACAGAGTACTTAAAGGCGGTGCAGCAGGCTGACATTTGGGCCTTAAAGGTTGAAACCTGATGTAACTTGTCCATGAGATGAGGATGAAGTTGGGCGAATACAGATGCGTCAGAAAACGGAAAACCGATGTACGTGAGAAGAAAAAGCATCAAATGCGAAACCTACGGTAAGAGCTATGGACCACTGAGCCCCACATAAATAACATCAGCGTCAGAGTGCGGCAAGCAACAGTAATGAAATAGATTGATCGAAGAGGTAACAGTCATCATGAGTAAGGTGGTTTAACCGAGCAATGCCATAAAAGTGATAAAATATCAAAATCTGTAGTACGAACTGTGAGCTTATAGACAGGCATGCGGTGTGGCGAGTACGCCGATGCTAAACGCCCCGGTGGGAAGTGTCGCAGAATCACTAATAGTCTGCATTCATATGATACTAGCTTTACACAGAACAAAGGTTCCGTCTACAAAAAAGCGAGAACGCAACTGTGTCCCGAAAATCCGACAGCTTCAATGGCCGACATCATTTCGAGCTGGATCCCAGGTGACGATTGCGAAGATGCAGGAGCCAGGAATGCGTAAGTGACTTGGATGAGAGCTCCAGCAAACTTCATTTTGAGAGGAACTCCAAATACGGTAGGATAGATGGAATGAAAAACCATAGTTTCCCAACACGCACTACAAACTAGTTTGCTAAACCGAGAATGAAAAGCAGTTGAGGTATGGAGAAAAAGTGACACAACCACACCATGACCACTATCATTCCGAGAAACGGATCATGAACGGTGCGAGAACATCGCCGAAACACAGTTAAACGCAACTGGAAAGGGTATGTTGTCCACATGGAGCAAAATGTTCTAGTGGAGTGTACCCAACACGGGTTATAAAATAAAAACGAAGCTCACAATGTGCACGCTGTATGCCTTGAAAAAGCACAACGAAGAAAAGTGATTAATTTGATAAAATAGCGACAGCCCATATGGCGGATTTCGTTACAACGAGAAACAAGAAATATTTAGGGCCAAAGCAATGGGGACGGCGCGGTGGTGTAGACAGAATTTATTAGAACAAGTGACACACGAAGTGACTTACCGGCTACTTGCCAAATAATCTCCAATCTTGCTCTGGTTGGCCCAGAGAATACGATGTACAGCATGGATAAGGTCTTCAGAAATAAAAGCAGTTACTCCGTTTTGACCGCCACAATCCTCAACGGCTGCTGTGCCACCGGACGAGGGGGAGGGCGCTCCCTCGACAGACGAACCGCTGCTTGCAGTCGCTCCGGTCACCACTGGGTAAGCAGAAGCAGCAGCAGCAGCAGAGGAGTTCTTGCCTTGCTGCCATGGATGGGTAATCACTACAGCGGTTGTGAGGGACAAGTGATTTGCGGCGAAAGTGCTGAACAGTGGTGTCGCTGGTTGAGTGTAGCTAGATGAAGGGTAATGACTTGTCAGTTCACTAAATGCAGTGTCGGTGGATTGAGGGGGCCCTCTTATAATTTCCTGTAATGAAAATAAGAACGGACTAAAACACAGTGTCTGTATCGTCAAAAACATGGATGTGGGAGCAGAATCGAACACGCGAGTAACATTCAGATGGCAGTAACAAGTGGAGCATAATGACGAGAGGTTAAATAAGGCATGTTGATGACCGTCTACGTGGGAGAACGCTGAGCAACAAACATGATCTACGCAATGACAGATGCGGATTCCCCACCCGGTATGAAGCTTTCTTCTATTCACGACCCAGTGTGCAACTATCTCAGAAACCAGCGAGTATGTAAAATGACGTTTTGGTTGCCACCATCATCGCCAACTGAACGACAGAGCGGTTAGCGAATGACCCAAATGGCGATAGTGATACGCCGCCATAAAACCGGGCCCAGGCATAGCGTTAAAAACTATCGGCCCATAAATCACACTGCGACAATTTCCAGAACTATGGAGCACATAGTTAAAAATGAAATTGTTAAATTCTTAACATTAAACAAACTTTTGTCCTATTTGCCGTACAGATTTCTTCAAACGCATTCACGTGTCACTTGACAGTCAGATTTCCTTGATCACTTAATGAAGTCGACAGACCTGTATCGTACTTCACTTCGACCTACAAAAAGCCTTTGACAGAATTGCACACAGAACGCTTACACATAAACCTCGCCTTTGTGGAATAGCAGGCCCACTACTATCTTGGTTAGAAGCTTACCTCACTGGTCGAAAGCAGACAGTAAAGATAGATGAGTATCTGTCAGAGACAGGAGATATTAGTGGAGTGCTACAACTGGACGTATGTATATGATCTTTCCCTTGCATAGTAGACCTTGTTTATTCGTAGATAAAAAATTCTGTGCGCCACTAAGTCTGAACATCTGCCACTTATATCTGCGATCCAAAATGACCTAGTTTCACTGGAAGACTGGTGTGTCAGATCTTCCATGGAATTATCAACATCGAAAAGCAGCATTATGTGCTATGGATGTTTGGTTCCACCTGAATGTTTGTTTTTGCATGGAATCCCACTCCCTTTATGCGAATTAGGTCTCCGTTACTCAGGTTCGTTGAATTTCAAAGAAAAAGTTGAGTATACGGTGGCTAAAACATGACAGACTATTGGAATGATAGGCCGCTTTTTATAACAAGCGATGTTAAGCTCCTGTCATTTAAACTGTACGCCAGACCATTATTAGAATACTGTGTTACCACTTTCAGTAGCGTTAGAAGATGCGATACCAGTGCAATGGAAGTTACAAAAATGATCAATTACCAAAAGAATCGTGGGCTGCACCTCTAAGTTCACTTATAAAGATAGATGTCATTTGTTGAAAATCGAACCGCTATGGCTTCAAAGATTAAGGCTGAATTTATGTCTATTATTCAAAATTGTCCATCGACTGACATACCTAGTTACTATCAGCCGGTATTCCAAGAATCTTCACCGTATGACCTAAGCAACAAAGACTATGTGATAAAGCTATCTCGCCGCCGCACACATCTACGGTACAACACTTTTACACACAAACATCCCAAGCTATGGAACAGATTGCCTCAGGCCATCAGAAGTTCATCTTCTCTTCGAACATTTAAGATGCAACTACAAGAGTAGTTAACTATTAATAAAATTAAAGACCTGTTTCGAATCAGTTGCATAGACGAATGGGAGTAGGAGAACGGGCCTGATACCATATAAGCACTTGCGGAATTCGCGATACAAAAGTACAGATAAAGATAGGGAGAAGGGCTTGTCGACACCCCGTGAACTACACTGTTCCCTTATAATGAGTTTTGCATGCAAGATAGCTTTGTCACTCATTCCTTCCTCCTACTTTGTCATATCCTTCGGCATTACTCAAATTGCTGAACCGCCGGTGGCCCATGAAAACATTGGCACCCAGATGGGTTGGATAAATGATATCTATCTATGATTTTTCCTTAGTCTATACTATGATATTCTTCGTGTTACTCAGAACGATGGCTCGTTGGTGATCTATGAAAACATGAGCACATCGATGAGTTGGATAGATGGGATCTATCAGTGATTTTTTCTTCATCTACACTGTTTCTTACTGTGCTCATACTTGGCTTGAAGACCCACAGATGGCATTTGGAGAATATGCGCACATTGATGAATTGGATAACCAAACTTTTTCCTTAGCCTTCAAATAGTGCTTCCTTTCCCCCACACAGCTAGATGAAAGACAGGAGTGCTAACACATGCACCTGCTGAAAGCGTGTGAACTATTGATGTCCTGCAACTAACCCACCCAATTTTTGTAGGCAATTCCATTTGCCCAGTGTTAGCATATTTTACTCCTTGTGTGAGGTACGTCGTTAATTCTAATTGATTTAGGTTTCATGATGAAGGCAGTTCTCAGTTTATCCGTTTGCGGATAGCGTCCTCCGGTCGGTTATTTTTGGCTGTGTTGACAAGATCACTTTGTGTTAACTTTCTGCGTTTATTGGAAGTATTTCGTGGAAATTGAGCTAAAATTCAGTTTCATTTCCGATTCTGAAATTTCCGACCAGAAATACTTGTGTTTTCATCACTTGGTTTCGGCGATCTTGCTATCGCCATTTTCTTCGTCAATTGGCCGCCATCTTGTTTTCGGATTATTCACAATGCCGAAGCAGTCATCCTGTGGTACTTGCTCCAAACTAGTCGGATACCGTGCAAATGCCCTCACGTGTGTTTTGTGCCAAGTTAAATACCACATTTCATGTGTTGGATTATCAGTTGAGCATTTTCATCGTCTTCGCGAGATCCAACACGATTTCATCCAAACTGTATGTGAAAATTGCCGAAATAAGATACAGCCAGAAAGAGTAAAGCCGACGTGTAGGCCTCAGCGTTTCGTTGCGAACAGCTCCCTGTGTTTGGCCCAACAACCTAGCGCGAAGAGCCTTCAGATTTCGGCTCAGTCGTCCTCCTCTACCCGTGCAAACTCACCGACACCAAGTCCAACCGTTGTGAGAAGCCCAGTTGCACCTGGCCTAAATTGTTTACCTTTGTTGTGTCCAACGGACACTGATGTCCCAGCAGGTGAAAGTCTGAGTGCTGAAGACCAGTGGAAAGAACAGAGGACGAAATTACGAAGGAACGTTGGGTGTTTACGTTCTGTAAGTCAACAGTTAGCCAAACCACGTGAGGCTGGTAGTATACTTCGCCCTGCAGGGCCAACCTCGTCCTACCAGAGGCGTTATAATCTCGTGATCTTTCACGCACCGGAGTCCAGTGATCCATCACCTCAAGTGCGCTACGATCACGATGTCGAGTTTTTACAGGGTTTAATTGATAGACTCCTCGACGCTGGTGAGGACTCGGTAAAAGTGAGACAGATTACCCGTCTTGGAAAGCAAGGTGATCAACATAATCGGCCTATGAGAATCACTTTTGTGGACGAAGCCAGTCCAAGACTGATCATGTCTCGCCTAAGTAGGCTGAAAGGTTTGAAGATCCATGTTCGTCCCGACCTGGACCCAGTAGACAGGGAGCGGCTCAAGTCTGCCATCATTGAGTTGAAAAGACGCACTGGTGAGGGAGAAACAAATCTTCGTATCGTAAATTTTCGGGTGGTTTCCAACAATCCGCGAATCAGGATAAACAGGCTGCTCACACTTCAAGCACGCCCGGCGGCTCCTGCTGCGGCCTGCGAGTAGCCTTCACAAACGTTTGCAGTATTATGAATAAGCGCGATGAGCTTTGTTATTTCGTTGCGTCTGAGCGGCCAGACGTAGTGGGACTCGCAGAGACATGGCTGCATGCAGAGTTATACACCCAAGAACTTGAACTCAACGGTTACTCGTGTTTCCGATGCGATAGACTAAAGAATGCCCACGGTGGTGTCTTACTTTACATCCGGTCTTCCCTGCGTGGGAGACTTGTGAGCACCTACCGAAGTGCCGATGGCCTGTGTGAGCTACTGTGGTGCTCCATCCGCCTCAGGCGCGGAGAACTGCTTGTGGGCGCAGTTTATCGCAGTCCCCTGAGTCGTTGTTTGGATTGGCTGCCCCATCTTCAAGCCCACATGAGTCGTCCACACTTTCTGCTTATGGGCGATTTTAACTGTCCTCGAATACGATGGCCTGATGTGCATTTGATGCCTGGACATAGTGAGGTTGAAGCAAAGTTCGTGGATTTGGTACTTGAAACTGGTGCATCGCAACACATATGCCAGCCAACACGCATATCAACACGTTCAACCTCATCCTGTCTCGACCTGATGTTAACGAGCTACGAACAACGAGTGCGTGACGTTAGGATCCTGGAGCCCCTGGCTACGAGCGACCACTCAGTACTGATAGCTGATATGGAATTATCTTTGCCGTATTCACATCCGCTGCAACCAGCTCCCAACTACTGGAAAACGGACTTCGATGGTCTAGCTCGAGCCGCGAGCCAACTGGATTGGTCTCTGTCACAAGCTGCATCTGTGGAAGATTGTTGGATATTTATAAAAGAGAGATTGACATCATTGTGTTCCCAATTTGTGCCACTGAAATGTCGAAAGGTTGGACCCATTAAGCCTCATTGGTTTGATAAGGAGTATGGAAACCTGGCTCGGAGGCGGCGCAGACTGTGGGACAAATTCCTTCTCTCTGGCTCTGCCAATGATTACGAAGGGTATAAATGTCAGCGGAACCTCTGCAACAGTGCGAAAAAGAATAAACGCCGACACTTTGAAGAGCAGCTCGCATTAGCCGCGAAGACCGCCCCAAAGAGAATCTTTGCATACGTGAAGCGACGCCTGAAGCCGGCAGGTGATGTGCCAGTGCTGGATGGCACGGATGGACAGCCCCTAACCTCCAGCACTGAGCGTGCGTCCGCGTTGGCGGCGCACTTCGCTTCTGTATTTGCGAATGACCAGGTGTCTGTTCCGAGTTCGACGTGTACCGCTTTTACCGAACTCGATAGTCTGCAATGCGGCGTTGAAGAGGTAGCTCAACTACTCGCCAACCTTGACGGCACCAAACCTGCCGGACCTGATGGGCTTCACCCACTGGTTCTCAAGTCACTTTCAACCATCCTCTCTCCTGTCGTGACTGAACTTTTCAACAGGTCG